CAGGTCTCATCCCGGAAGTTCTGCAGTCTCGTTTCGAGGACGTCTATCAATACATCCAGGATCACTTGAGTTTCGTATGGAAGAGCGGGTTTGTTAAAAGCAGTCATTCTACCAACATGGGTCAGGTACAAGCTTGTCCAGTCTGGAAGAAACCGAAATTCGCAGCCACTCCTTCTGCGATACGGCTTGCCGCTTTCCATTTCCCAACAGCAGCGGAATGGCTAGCGCCTTGTTACGAGAAGATCGCGGGCTCCGAGGACTGGGTCATCATCCTGGATCAAAAGCAGCGCTCGAGTATTGGATGGGAAACAGGCTTTCCACCTGCGTTGATCAACTTTCGCATCATTTCAGCTTCTATTGTCATATCGGTTGCCAGCAGATTAGCCCCAGAAGACTTTGAGAGCCTGCGCCACTCCATGAACATTGCTCTTGATACACCAGATTGGATAGCATCAATGAGCTCAATCATCGATAATGGCCTGCATCCAGGTCATGAGTCCCAACCAAGCAGTCTTGGATTTCCATTGTGGAAAGCCGTACAAATTTTAGCCGTGGTCCATGCAGCGTCAAGCCCAGATTGGGTGGATCAAGAAGCAGATGTCGACATACGACGCGTCATCGGCTGGAGGACTGGTGCGTACGCAGTGTTGCCGAGCCTATTTTTTGAAATGGCTCCTACCGAAAAGGCAATCGGTATTCGTTGTCTCGACCAGTTTTGGGCAAACGCAGTTGTCCGCTCCCAAGGCTCGGTTCACACTCAAGATAATACCGTAATGTACGGACTGTCCGTTGAGGCTGCATCTTCCGGTTCAAACGTTCCAGACACTGAGTCAAGCTTTCCCCTTGTGAACACCGGCGGCGGCGAATGCCACTTTGGCCCCGCCGTCACTCGTCCAGCTGATAGGCTTCTCTACCTCAGCCTGGAAAAGCCGGCGAGACTACCGCTACATGACATAGCATTCTGCGGTCGTATCAATGGCGATTCTGTTGGGATAGTTTCAGTGCTTTCGATCATCCAAACGATTATCGTCAGCTTAGAAGCTTCAAAGCAGTGTCCTGGGCATGACAGAACTGTAACCCAGTCGGTGTACAACGTTCACACCTCGAACTGGTGTCAAAATCGAAACCGAAAGCCATGTTGGAAAGGTATGTCGACTGTGATATCAGCGCAGGAGCATCCTCTATGGGCAATCTTTCTCGCTGGTCATTCCGGATGGGGTATGTCTGGACGCATTTCTTTCGGTTGTTTTGATTGTGCTACAGAGCAGGGCCAAAACAACTCTTTCATCGTAGGGTATACATAGTCATCACTCAGTTTTAGTATGACTCACTCAACGGACGGTGATGCAGTATTCGGTGTCTATTTGTCCATGTACTGTATAGTAGGTCTGGAAACGCGAAGTTCGTAAATGCGTGTGTTTCGTAGACTATTCTTCCTAAGGAGAAATTAATATGAGCTCCGCAGACTACGCGCCCAGAGCAGGAATCATCTTGAGGGTTGCAAACTCTCCAAGCACCTCCCTAATAGCGTCGTTCGAATCGACAAATCCATGCCATCCCATCTTCCGCGCCTTGTTCATCGTGAGATCCAGAGAAGAGCCCATTAGTCCTCCGTCCGTAAAGCCAAAGATGCGGTCGATATCCATATTTTGAAGCTTGTCTACCTTGAGACCATGTTTAGAAATGATCTCCTCCCATGCGTTTTGTACCTTCTCTTGCTTTGCCCAATCCGTCAGCGTGAACCGCACGCGGAGCTTTGCTGGTGGCCCAAAACCTCGCGGAGGCGGATCGTGCTTTGTGGTAATGACCGTGTAGGCACTGTCGTCCAGGCTGGGAGTCTCATAGCCAATGCCATACCAACCCGCGTACTTTGGCCAGAAATTACCCCACGTAAAGGTCGTACCGTCCATAGTATTGAACTTTTCGTTCTTCGCCCCATCGTCAAGCACAGCCCATTGCTCCATATACGCATTCATCTTGCTGCTCGACATGCATCTGTTCGCCTCCCATGCTTGCAGGTCAGTTGGGAACTCGAGCTTCTCGCCTAGGTGTTTCTGTACACTTGCGTAGACGCCCAGCGGAAAAACAAGATTCATTGCGGCGTCTGGCACAGCGCCGAGGATGCCCGCTGGCATGCATACGTTCCAATCGATACCCTGCTTTTTGCAAAAGTCCCAGAGGAAGTCTTCTTGGGGGTAGTAGAAGTTGGGTTCCAGAGTGACGCGTGGTGCTGTTTCTTCCTGGGGAGTAGCTGCAGGGCCGAGGTGGATACCGTAGTTCTTCGCGCCGGTCTGGAGCATGATGCGCTTTGGCTTGATGTTGGCTATGAGGAGAGCTTCACAGAAGTTCTTGAGAAGGGCGGCTGCGGTAGGTCAGTTTCGTAAAATGGGAAGTTATAGATCAACTATTACGTACTGTTCACCTTGCACATCTCCTCGGCGTCGCTCCACAAGCCACCACCCTCCTTCGGCTTGACTTGAACGTACGAGTAGAAGAAGACGTAGTCAGCCTTGACACCCTTATCCTTCAACACTTTCGCGATATCTTCTGAGTCCTGTAGAAAGTCGAGAGGTATGTGCTCGGCATTCTTCGGTAGTCCATCTGGAATCGCGGGTGGTCGCCTTGACAAACAGTAGATCTTCGTCCATCGCTCGGGATCCTGCGCTAGCACACGCAGCATGTAGTTACCAGAGATACCATTTGCGCCGGTTATAATGGCTGTAAGTCCTTTCAATGACGAGGGGTATACAGGTAGGCCGTGGAAGATGCCTTTGCTTTCGACCAGCTGCTGATTGGACATGTTGGATGAAGCAGTGTAGAGGAAATGTGATGGGAAATAGAAAGGATGATGCTCGGTCGCACAACAGTAAGATAGATGTTATTCTCCTGATGGGGCATGTTCGACAAATTGATGTCCACCTGTACAACCTCGGATCATGACGTATTGCGGGGAAGTGCAGCAAGATCGATCTCGATAGCAGCAATGCAGCACAACATACGGGTGGATACATGTATGACACATGCGATTCTCCAGCCGAACAACGCATGCTTCTGTCACAATTTTCGCGTAGTGTACGCAAATCTTACGATTATCTGTAGGGCTGTCGTAATTGTGATAGCGCGTCTAGTCGCGTCGAGACAACGCTCTGCGTTTGATCAGCGATCTTATAACAAAAGATACACGCTCCCATGCTGCTGATATGATAGCGACATGTGATACCGTACAATAAATGATAGACATTGTCTCTCCAGTCGTCGTGGGTGGCTGGAAGATGGACTGGAGCGCGTACGTAGGTACGCGTTTGGGTCGGAGCCTTAGCGCGGCGCTAAGCAGGGCCGATTGCCACGCCTGCTACGCGACATTACACCTACAACACCAGACCTCTTGCCACAACGACGCCCGATATTGACGCGATTTGAATCCATCTCTTGAAAGTATACATCACAATATATCTATCAGCGCTGTTTGATGCGGCTTGCTTCCTCATTCCTCAGCCTCCTAACACCCGCGTTCCAGCCAAACGAACGCTCGCAGTTCATCACATTTCCAAAAGGGTGATCCACGGAGTCTAATGTTTGGAATAACCTGTCCCCTTTTGTACACCAGATACTATTCTTCATCTCTGTTGGAATATTAGGGTACTCTAGCACTGGAGGCCAGCTCCTGGTTCAACCTACCTCTCGGGATCTTTATATTGCGACGAAGTGCTCGTTCGCAATAGCAGTAACTTCTCGCATCTCTGGCGGAAATCTTCCATGATACCAAGTTTGACCCAGGACATCATTCAGCTTTCCCAATACAGCCAGTCTGGGGAACGGCGTGGCTCAAAAGGTCTGGCAGTCGCGCCTGGTGAATACTGCCGCTTGCACTTCATAAAGCATTACGACAATCCCTAGCGCCATGCCCCAAGCAACTACCTGGCCGCATAACACTTCCGGTGTGAACACAGGTCAACATAAGCACGGTAAAACCATGGAAAAGGACATATCAAAGCTTGTAGCCGTTCCTAATATCGCTTTCAGGCCAAAAGAGCAGCAAGTCTCACCGACGGACCAAGGTATACCAGAAACTTCCCGGAACAATGATACCTCCGAGAGTGACCCAGCTGACATTGCATGGGATTATGATGTATACGCCGCGCCTTTCATTCCGCCAGGTCTTCAAGCAATCAACACCGAAGTGGCTACCATCATCAACACAAGACCTAGACATTGGATCGACTTTGAGAATTACGTACATACATTCACCGGAACAAGCTTTATACCGCCACCCTACGCGGAAACTGAAGATCACACAGTCAGATCAGCAGCGGATTTTCCTACGTCGCTCAATGAGTCCACCTATCTGCAACACTTCGACATATCGGCCGCCATAGAGCGTGTAGCGAAGGAGAAAGAAAACGAATCATACGCGATGTATCAAGTCCCGCTCTGGCAATACCATCCAATGGGAGACTTGTGGTGCCTGCTAGTTCCAGGACTAAGAGAAGATAACCCACACATTGAAATGGGCGATGTGCTTCAGATACGTCAACTGTATGTTAACGAAACAGGGGCCTTAACGTTGATGCCAAACTATGTGGATGATTACCAATTCGGATACATGGGATCTCCTTCAATAGCCTTCAGGCCCTGGACAGGCGTACAGCACAATGCCGCAGTCTTCGGTGTCAACCGTGCGCAAGAAACAGTCTATATCAAAGCAGATGGCCTATGTCCACCGGTATCGCCCATGCGCATGTTCGCTAATGTCATCATTCCACTGAAGTTCAACATCCTCCAAAGCCGGCGAAAAGCTTTGGCACACCTCAGCTCCGAGCTGAGACTCGTCGGCTTCTCCCCACGGACATATGGCTACCCATCCTCGAACGACAGGCTAAATCATTTTGGCGAATCGCCTGGTGTCAAATATGCCACACTTAACGCCGACGCCACGAGAGTCGCATCCCACGATTCTCATAACGATTGGAGTCTCAGAATCCTGTTTCCCGATGAAACTCATGGCGAAGTTCAAACTACACTGCGCAAAGTTCCCCATCGCAAGCTTTTCGATCGCGCTGTCAACTACGAACAAGCGCATGCTGTCAACGACATATGTACTAACATATATGGGACTGTGCCTTACTTGATCAGTGGACCGCCAGGTAAGGGAACAACTGTACGAATCGCATCTACGACATACACTAACTTGTTATCTCAACCTTAACAGGCACGGGAAAGACAAAGACGCTTGTGGAGACGGCAATGCAACTGTTAAACACTACAGATGTCGCACACATGCTAATATGCGCTCCATCAGAGGCAGCGGCGGATACACTGGCACTCAGGCTCAAGGAATATCTCGCACGAAAGGAGCTATTTCGACTTAACCGACCAGGAAGGGCCGATAACGAGGTACCACGGGAGCTATTGCAGTACTGCCATATCGAGAACGACATGTTCTGTCTACCACCATTCCGGGAGCTCATGGCTTTCAACATCGTAGTAACCTCTTGTCAAGACGCGGCGATACTGGCAGACGCAAGATTGACCAACAACGATCTCTGGACTATACAAAGGAATATGTCATCAGCTTTCAACCCAGACGACCAAATCCCCAATCCGAAGCTACATTGGAGCGCCTTACTTATAGACGAGGCAGCTCAAGCTACTGAACTAGACGTTTTGCCTGCCATTAGCGTTGTATGCCCACCATTCACGTATCCGACCACGTCGACCCAACCACGCGTAGTGATGGCAGGAGATGAAAAGCAGCTGGGGCCACGAATTGCATCCCGTAACCTTCTCGTACGCAGGTCCTTGTTCGCCCGGCTTTTTCAACGACCGCTATACGAGAACCACCCTCTCTCGCGCTCAAAGATCAAGCCATCATCCGGCTCACCAGTACTGAAGCGATCAATGTTACCGATCACATACCCACCATTCACATTACTAGTCCGAAACTACCGTTCCCACCCTGCCATCCTCAGCGTACCAAGCGCTCTCTTCTACAACAATACCCTGATCCCAGAGGCTCCTCTATCAACCACCCCACTCCAACAATCCGATCTCTGGCGCGGCCGCAAGTGGCCCGTCCTCTTCATCCCGCACACCGGCCTCGACGAAATCGAACGTGACAACGGCGGCTGGTACAACATCTCCGAAGCGCGCATCGCCTGCAACATCGTCCAAACCCTCCACCGCTATTCCTCCGTCAAGCAATCAGACATATGCATCATGTCGCCCTTCGCCGCGCAAGTCAAACTCCTGCGTTCAATGATCCGTTCATCCGAGTATGGCAGAGGCGCAGGACTGTGGGACGTCAACATCGGTCCCTTGGAAGCTTTCCAAGGTCTCGAGAAACGGGTCGTTGTGCTATGTACAACACGAGCACGGAAGAGGTTTTTGGCTAAAGACGAAAAGGCCGGCTTGGGTATCGTGGGTGGAGGTAGGAAGATGAATGTCGCGCTCACGCGAGCAAAAGAAGCGCTGTTCGTTATTGGTAACGTTGAGGTCTTGGAGCAAAATCAGCATTGGCGGCAGTGGTTGGCGTTTTGTTGGCGGAACGGGTTGGTTAGTGATGAGAAGGGGGGTTGGGATGGGGGTTCATTGGGAGGCGATGGAGACGAGGTTAAGATTGGGGTTCTGGAGAAGGCGTTGATTGCTAAGGAAGAGCAGGGGAAGCAGAGGGGGAAGGTGTTAGGTGCTGGGGCGGGGACGCAGGATGTCGGCGAGTATGATGCTTGGGTTGAGAGTTTGAGGGAGACGCTTGGGGAGGGGGATGAGGAGGAGGGAGAGGGACTGGGGGAGGAGGGTTATGAGGAAGGCGAGGAGGGAGACGTTGTACATGCTCATGATACTATCGCTGGCGCTGAGGAAGGAGAGCTTGTGACGAGGACTGGCACTCTGGTGTCCAGCCTTGACAACGATGCCTAGGGTTTGGAGCGAGAACCCGCCTACTCAGGAGGAGTAAGAGAGTGGGCAATTGTAGAGGGATTCACACTCATGATTGTGGTATTGCATATGGAGATCTGTATGATAAGCACAAATTGTTGGCAAGCGACACATGTCTAATACCGTATAATTTTGATGTATGAACGACGTTCTGACGTTCATTACGGGGTATCGATGTGACTAGCAAACATGCTCCAATCCCTCAAAAACCAAGCATAAACCCCATGCATGATTTCCATACGCCAAACTACCTTGCCATGCCAAAACGCCTTTTCCGGCCCTGTCTCTCAAGACGCACCCAGCCTCTAGCCCTGGAACAAGAAGCCCCTCAGCGCATTCTCAACCTGCTGATCGTCATATCCTTGACCTTGCAGCTGTTGAACCATCTGCTGCTGCTGAGCCATACGTTGTGCTTGCTGCATAACACCATTCGCACCACCATACACCCCTTCCATCTGTGCCTGAGGCGCGAACTGGGCGTAAGAACGAGACGGATCATTCGAAGAACCTCCAGACATAGACATAGGCGGGCCCACAGAACCCGAGCCAGAACCAGCGCCAGAACCTGCACCATTCACACTCCCACTCATACTACCCGGCGGCCTGTTATACGCGTTCTTAGGCGGACGACCCATACCAGAGTAAGTAGGTGGGGGAACAGGCTGGCCCTTAGCCAGCGCCGCCTTCTCCCTATCCCTCTTCTTCTGCTGTACGAGCGTGCCCTTGACACCACGAAGATACTTCATCGCCGCATCGACGAGTTCTTTCTTTTCGGGCGAGTTCTTAAGCGCCTCGAGCATCTCCCGGACTTGGGTTTCGGATTTGATGTGTGGGCAGGTGCGCGAGTGGCCGAAATGGGCTAGGCCGCAGAGGTTGCAATGTTCGACGCCGGCGGCTTTGAGTTCGCAGGCGCCTTGAGGGTGGTTCTTGTGGCAGGCGGGGCAAATGCGGTTGCCGAAGGAGCCGTAGGTTGGTTCGAGGGGGTTACGGATGGGGATGGTGGCGCGCTCGAAGGGTTTGACTGTCACTTCGTTAGTCTTTGGGGCTTGTGGCGATGACTCTGGTGGTGGTGTGGAGAGGTCGATGAAGGCGGCTGGTGGATGGGGTGACGACGCCTGGTCTGAGGAAGTGGCTGGATGACTCCGACCATCACTGCTCAGATGTGTCGAGAGCTCAAGTCTCATTCGAGTACCACCTTTGGGTGGCACAATCTTTACCGGCTTCAATGGCGACCTGACAGCTCTTACACCACCCTTCTTAGGCGTAGTTTGTACAGGAACAGGTGCAGTGGGGGACTTTGACGAAGGAACTTGAGACGCACCTGCGCCATTCTGCTTGTACAGCGAAGAGCTGGCGTTGTTTGTTGTACTGCGATGGCGAACGTGACCCAGCTCCTTGGCGGCATCAACGTCCTCATGACCAGGCTCAGGCTCGCTTTCGTCTTCAGACTCGGCCTGGAAGTCAGTATCGCTTTCGGAACCTGTCTTGGCTTTGCGCTTCCTGCTCGGCTTTTTGATTGGTGAAGGCGGTAATGCGGATTCCTCGCGTCGATCGTCTCCCGCGGCGGATGCTGCATCGGCATCTTTTGGATCTATCACGTAATCGACAGTCTGCACGATGTTAGTAATTATAGTAATGGAGGATAAGACATTGCGTACTTGTTTAGCCCGCCGTCCTCGACCCATAGCCTCCGCCTTTGCAAGTGCTTCAGCGGCTGCGGCGGCTTGTCGTTCCTTCAAGATCTTGTCCCAGACACCCGGATCTGGAGCAACCTCCTCGTCTACCGTGTCGAAATCGTCTTGTAATGCGCCTTTCTCGTTGACCCAGATACGGGCAAAGCCAAACTGAGATTCCGCGGAGTCATCGTCACCAGTCTTTGTATTCTCGATCTGGCTACGATCGAGTAGCTTGTCGATGGAGGCATCGTCGTACCGGATGTCGTGGTCGGCATCGTCGTCTTTGAAGAGTTCCGCCGCGCCATGCTTGAGTATCGACTCGACGTCCTCGTCCTCGGGATCATCTCGGTCCAGATCCTGAACAACGACCTTGTCAAGGGCCATCTTCTTCTTACCCATTTGCATGATCTTCTCTTCTACAGACGCTCGAGTAGCCAGCTGAAGACACAGCACCTTCTTCTTCTGACCGATACGATGAGCTCGAGCAATGGCTTGAAGATCTTGATGAGGATTCCAATCAGGATCGAGTATGATGACGGTGTCAGCGGTTGCAAGATTGATGCCTACACCACCAGCACGTGTGGATAGAAGGAAGGCGAATAGCGGCGAGTCGGGTGCGTTGAACTGGTCGATGCGCTTCTGCTTCTCGAGAGAGCCCATGGTACCGTCTAAGCGCTGGTACGGGAGCTGCATACCGTCCAAAAAGTCTTCGATGATGTTGAGCATGTCGAGGAACTGACTGAAGATGAGCACGCGATGACCGCGTTCCTGAAGCTTCGGAAGCAAGGTCTCGAGAAGAGAGAGCTTGGCAGAAGCCTCGACGAGATTGCGATGAGAGACAGCGGCGACTTCGCTTCGCTCTTCAATCTCCCTGCTATAGACGAACGGATGGCAAAGACACTTACGTAGCTGCATAAGAATATTGCTCAAGTTGGCACGTTCCTGCTGCTTCAGCTGCTTGTCGGAGGTGAAGAGAGCTTTGAGTAGTTCCGGGCTCTTGGACAAGATAGACTTGTAAACTTGCTTCTGCAGATGGCTCATGGAGATGGGGAGAATGATCTGACCCAAAGGCGGCAGGAAAGTCAGGACCTTGGCCTTAGTACGTCGCAGAATGAAGGGCCGGATCTGGTCATGAAGCTCTCGGATATTGTCCGCTGTCATCTCAGCGTACTGCTCCTCAAGCGCGGCAGCATCGATGGTGTCGTCGAGGAAGTGCAGCAAGTTGAAGAGCTCACGGGCGTTATTCTGCAGCGGCGTACCAGTCAACAAAAGACGGAACGGCGCGCGAACTGCTGTGAGAGCTGTATACAACTGGGACTTGTCGTTCTTCAAGCGCTGGCCTTCGTCAACGACGAGACCTGCCCAGCTAACACCCCTGAAGAACCTCCTGCAGTTGTCATCGGCGGCAGCGTCGTAGGAGGTTACGACGATGTGGCATCGCAAGTCTTTTGTCTTCTCGGGATACATCTCGTACTGGTAGGCCATCTCACGAGCTTTGGCGGACCCGAAGTAAGCCACCACGCGAAGAGACGGCGCCCACTGCTTGATCTCTCGTCGCCAATTGGCACATGTCGAGTTGGGGACTACAATCAGGAAGGGGAAGCAGTTGTGCTCTTGGATGAGGGTCGCCATAAAGGCAATGACTTGAATCGTCTTTCCGAGACCCATCTCGTCGGCGAGGATGGCGTTCTTCTGGTCGTACCACTTGTAGTAAAGCCAGTTGAGACCCTCCAGCTGATACTTCATCAGCTCACCACCAACAAGGTTATCAGGCTGTTTCTCTCGCTCAAGTTTGGCGAATGATGTGCTGCGAGCCTTTTCAATGCGTCCTTTGAGTGGTCCTTGCTTGGGAATCTTGACGTAGCGGCCGGCCACCCAGTCGTTGTAAGCAGTGACAAAGTCAAGCCACCTGTCACCGTCTTCTGGGGTTGGTACGCTCTCCCATACTGTATCTTCGTAGCCGAGTCCTTTGTACTTGATGAGCGCCTTGTCAACTTCCTTGATACGAGCTTTGTCAATCTCTTCACTACGGACTTCGACATAGCTCGTGTACTTGATATCGAGGACGATATCGATACGAAGGTACTCCTCGGGGATGGCGTCTTCGGTCCGCATTTTCGGTCCGTCCTCGCGCTTAAAGAAGGCCTTGCGCTGGACTGCAGCCGTGACACCCCAAGTCCAGGCTCCGGAGTGCCATGCAGATCGGAAGTAGGACTCGTTCTCCCACTTGATCAAGTACTGCTTATCGTCTTCGCAAACGAGTTCACATGGTGTCCCCGGACGGTATGTCTCAACATCCGACGGGCGCCAAGCGATGATACCGCCTACCTTCTGATCGAAAGTCTCGTCGCACTCTTTGCAGAGCCATTTGCCAGAGTATTCGCGGAAACGCTCATCTGCCATCTCCTCGTCGTCGCGATTGACGTCCATAGCGTACTGCGACATGGGTGGTAGATGATGGTAATGCCAGGCACGAGAGCACTTAGTGCAGCGGAACATGACATTGTTGGGATCGTTGACAAGCTCAGAAGGTACGTCGACGACTGGATCATGGCCGTCGTTTTCTTCGCGCTCCTTCATTTCCTGCTGTGTGGTTTTGCGACGTCTAAAGGGTCGACAGGAAGGACCCGAGATAGCGCAATCCTGACATCTGGATAGATCAGGAGCAGTTGCGTCTTTCTTCTTGTAGAAGTTGATGCACCTCTTGCATTGTAGAACGAACTCCTCGTCTCCAATCTTGGTGACTAGATGATCGCGCGTGGAGCGGTTGCCCAAGCAGTTCTTGTGGTAAGCCAGTGAGCAACCTTGGCAGTAGACCAGAGGCGCAACATTGGGGCCATCGAAGCAAACTTCGCAACCCCCGGCGTGTCGCGCACGAAAAGGGTCACTTCGAGGTAGATTCGGAAACACTTCTCGGACGACTGAGACCTTCTGTGCAGCCACTTTCGGAGCCGAGTCGGATCGATAGACGTCGTTGATACCCGCTTCTTGCATGTTGTTTGTGGCACGTGTTGCTCGATCAGATTGTCGGACTCCCGCTCGGGGTATCTTCTCAGGCTTTGCAGCACGCAGAGGACGTCCCTTGCGTTTGCGACCTGGTAGTAGATCTGAACGGAGGATATCCGAGGCGCTGGACTCGTCTGTGGTTCCATCTTCCGATTCTTCGTCATCGTCTTCGTTGTCGTTGGCGTTTGTTCGAGTCGGCTGTCTTGTTGAACGTCGTGTGGGTTGTTGTACGCCTTTGCGACGCCGACCCTTCCGCTTCTTGCCGGCGTCTTCGGAGTCTTCATCACTTGTGGAGAGCGCAATGAGATCGCTGTTCTCTGAGCGACCTCTTGTTGGACGTCCTCGTCGGGCTGCGCGCCTCAAGCCTTGTGAGCGGCCATTGCGACGACCTGGTGAATCGGAGGCAAGCTCGTCTTGATCGTCGTCTTCGGAAGAAGAGATGGGGAAGTTCGAGATATCCACAAAGCCCTCGTGATCAGCCTTGCCTGCGCGATTACGAAGTCTCATGTCGTCGTCGCTACCGGTCGCGTTTGGATCGTCGTCGGGTTGGAAGGTTTGTAGTGCCTCTGGGCCACCGTTGAGTTCGAGGAGCTCTTCGAAGGTAATCTATAGACACTTAGTAAGATACTTCGAGTAGATAGTTGTAGAGAAGAAGGACTCCAAGCAGAGGTGGTGCTCATATAGCGGGACCAACTGCACCCGGCGCGAGGGCTGCCTTTACCGGTGATAGTAAGGGAATTTGAGACATCCAAGATATAATCACTCACCTGTTTGACGCGGTCACCTGACAGCCTGACCTCGTAAACCATCTCGCCCTTCTTCCCAGAGAACTCGCGCAGGATCTTCTCCACTTCATCTTGAGGTTCATAGTACCTGTACTCCGTCTTCTTGACTTTCGCTGAGGGTATTCGAACGCATACCGCCCGCCGCTTGCGAGGAGGGGTATCGATATGCATAGTGAACTCTTCGTCCATATCGTCTGGCATTGACATTGTAGCGGGGGAATCAGACGCTTCCCTTGTAGGCGCGGGGCGGGGAGTACTCAGGGCCGCGTTTGCCTTGGGCCCTGGTGGCGGCTTCTTCTTGAACGCCGCCATAAGCGCCGCGCCATCTTCGTCGCTACTCATCTTGCGGTCTGCGATGCGTTCGTCTAGTGTGGTGCGTGATTGCGGGACGGCTCTTTTGGCAAGGGATCTATGTCGACAGCATCTGATGGGCCCGACTCGGTCGAGGGGTGCAGAAATCAATTAGGACAAGGTTCGATATCCTTGGCAGATACAATGTACAGCTTTGAAATGCGGGATGAGTGGGGAATGGGGATGCAGGCGCGCTGCTGTACCGTGGTTTCCGTCGCGTCTCGGTGAACGATGATAGCGCCCAAACGCCAGACGCGTGACTTCGCGTCCCGCGCTTGTCGTCTTAGTGCGAACGCCTGGCTTGGCAATCAGGAACTTTTTGTCGCAGCGCAAAAGCGCTGGTTACAAGTTAAGTCTCGAATTCCACCACGACTGCCAAATTGACCTTGTTATGGTTTATTCTTGCCTAACTAGTAGCACGCTACTGCGATCACGCCAATTGGTCACCCCACGCACCTTCCTCCGCTACAAATCAATTACTGCCGCCATCGAGAGGGGCAGGCAGGGTGGACCAGATCGACCCTTCCGACCGCGGACACGAAACGACCGCAACGACGAAAGAGATGAACCGGTGAAGAATCGCCGTGTGACTCGCCGTGAGGCACGGTTCGAGAAATTTGGTCCTCCTCGTGACGATCCAGAACCAAGATTCGGTGATCGCTCGACTGTAGCACCTCGCAGTAGCAGATTCGGACGTATACCCCGCGATGACGATGCGCCGAGTCGGTTCAAGGAAGAGCGACCGAGCGGCTTTGGAAGAGATCGATCGAGTGGTTTTGGAAGAGAACGATCAAGTGATCTGGGAAGAGAACGACAAGGCGGGTTTCAACGAGAGCGACAAAGCAGCTTTGGAAGAGATGCGCGCGGAACGGGAGTCGAGCAGGGCTCGCACCGCCCCAGCGAGGCACAAAAAGAATATGAGAGACAGTATGGCGAGAAAAAACGATCTCCGCACAGGCTGGATCCAGAGGGGAGACGAAACGGGGATATACACCCACAAAGAACTTTCCGACGCTATGATGATGGCGATAGGCCCCGGCCGCGTATGACAAATGATCGCAGCGACTTACGGAAACATAGGACAAATGATCGCAACGACTCACGGAAACAGAGACCTGAGAGAAACTGGAGGGACGACAGGGCGCCTTCATACACGCCCCGCACTCGCGATGTAGCTGACGAAGGTGTCACTGAAGCTCGATCCTCCCAAAGGGGTGATGATGCCACATCATACAGTCCGCGAGCTCGGGATGAAAACGATCGTTCTTTCGAACCGCGATTCTCTCAAAGACCGGATTCGAAGGGCGCCAGAAGAGAACGCCATGGCCGAGAGTCTTCTGATCCCGATTCCGCGACGAGAAGTAGCACGGAGACACAAAAACCTTCCGTCCGAGGACCAGAGTCACTCCCTTACACGACTGCCGCTTCAGAGTTCGTATACGGGTATGGGAGCGTGGTAGCTGCGATCAAGGCGAACCGGCGTAAATTCTACAACCTCTATGTACACTCACGAGGTGCGAGTAGAGAAGGCCTCATATCTCGGATCAGATCGCACAAGCTATTCCCAATCACACAAGAAGTTGGAGATGAGTATATGCGCGCTCTGGACAAAGCAAGTAGTGGTCGACCACACAACGGGGTGATTCTCGAGGCATCACCTCTGCCCGTCCCTCCCATTACCGAGCTGAAGACGGCTTCTCTTGAGGATGAGAGCTTCAGGGTCACACTTGATAGCCAAAGCGCTGAAGACGTGCTCGTCAACGGCAAGCAAGAGCCGTACTCGTACAAGTCGGGAGGGTGGAGACACCCACTGATCCTCTACGTGGACGGAGTAGTAAATACAACAATACCGTCTATAAGATGATAGCTAACAAAGACAGGTCGATGAAGGCAATCTTGGGGCTATTGCACGCTCAGCCTATGTCCTGGGTGCGGACGCCATCATCACGCCGACCCACCATACCGCAAACTGGAGCCACATCGCGGTCAAGGCCTCGGCCGGTGCCGCTGAAGCCATTCCGCTGTTCAAGGTCGGAGACCCAACCGACTTCCTAAAAAAGAGCGCGGGTGCAGGGTGGTGCATCTACGCGAGCGACGCCATTCCGCCTGCGCCCCCAAGTCTCTCTTCAACCGAAGACGCACCCGAGCCTGGATCCAACAAAGTAGTTTACACTATTTCGCAGGGCAGGAAACGTCTTCCCGCCGACCACAGCCCAGTTGCCGAGCACCCCACAATCCTCATGATGGGTGCTGAGGGCACTGGATTGAAGACCAGTCTGGTCAACCTGGCGAGATACAAGGTCGGAATCCCCCATGGCCGCGAGGCCAACGAGGTCGGAGTCGACAGTTTGAATGTCAGCGTTGCGGCGTCGATACTCTGCTACGAGATGCTGCAGAAGCCGAGGACACAGCCTGAGCGCAACCCCGAGAACGTTGTCTTCTAGACCACTACCCATTCGAGGAATATGTCCTCTGTACTATATGTATACTTTCAAAGCTCCATTGTAAGCTTGCAGGCTGGACATGCCATCCTTAGACGGGCAGTTGGTCCAATAGCCTTCAACGACGTGCGTCGTTATCAATTCGCTCTCTCCTCCGTGCGAGGCATGCGCCGTTGCAGCACTAATCGTCCAATGACAGATGCAGGCCAATATGGTAGCTGCATGATGCTGCAGTGCGGAGTGCATCCACTAGGTCCTTGCCTACTACCTAGCTCAGCGCCTCTTATCACCGAGGCCTCCCTAGCCTAGCAAGAATAGCTGTATAGCGACATCAATCGTGAGGCTTAAAGCGGTGAGGCAAATCTCAAATGGCCATTGCTGTACTCGCATCCAGCCGGTACTGCGATTTACCATTGCAATATCGCATCTGCCCCACGTGTTTGCTACAGTTCGCATACCGGTGGGCTGACGCTGATCGGTGGTGTGGCTGGTGTGCGTGACCAGATCCTTATCAGTGTATGCAACTGCCAATCCATCATCCCATCCAAAAATGCCTCGTACCTGTGACACGCAAAGACTTGGAGTCGGAGGATACTGGGAAGTTCACAAGACTTGACAAAAGTTTAAGTTTCAAGGAAGTAGCAGAGCCTAGGATCATGCCATGTCCATCACGACATGATCGGCGATCGGAGCATGGCGCAAAGCTCAACATGGGATTTGACACCGCTTTTCCGAAATGCGATGCAGTGTTTGCGCCATCCGAAGCGATGAATCCTTCGCGCTCGCTTGGTGAAGGGGACATGTCGTATAACGTATATACGTGAAATGAGAATGTGAACACCGTGACACTGGCTATACCCACAACGCGCTATGCGCTATCAGTAGGTGGTGTCGAGGAAAAGTCCTAGCGGTGAAGTGAAGCTAGGGGCGCGTGGGGAAAGGCGTCCAAGCGCCCCTGTCGTCATGGAGCACACGCCTCGCCATACCACGATCCTCCCCCTCCTAGCGCGATTCCAGACGGGAGAGCAGCGTTTTTCACACCCACCCATCAGCCAACTCGCACCCATATCATGGTGTCGCTCTGACCCCGTGTAGCCCCGGCTGAATCCGTCCTCCCCGCACCTGCGCCTGCTCTCAGTCACCTGGCGACTGTTTATCTATTCGCTCGGTCGCGCCTGCCAACCCACCCTTTGTACTCAACCGCCGCCTAGAGTTAGAGCCTCTCCGTCCTGCACGCACGCACGCTGCAACTGCACGCCTCACACCTAATCGCGCATCCCGCCGCATCATAAACCCCGCAACTCCTCCCTTTGCGCCACCGTCTCGATTCGACAAAAGTCTCGAGGCGAAACTTCTCACCACCCGCTGAGACAGTAATTACACATCCACCATGACGCGAAGAATTGTATATGGCGTGGGCCTCATCCTCACACTGGCCTGTAAGAGACGATGATAATGCCGCTACAAAGGAAAATGAGACTGACTGACTGCGCAGGCACCATCATGACCATCGCCAGTATCTCGATGCCGCGATGGGTCAGCTACAGCCCCGACGGCAAGCGCGAATACTCGTACGGCCTCCACAGTCGCTGCTCCGCCGTCACGGGCACCTGTGTCCCCTTCCCCAAGATGAGTGACTGCACAAAGGACCCGTCCTTCTGCAACATGTGGCGGACAGTCGGTTTCCTGACCTCCTTCGGCGTCGTCGTCGAGCTCTGCGCCATCGTCTCCTTCATCGTCATCATCTCAGGCGGAGTCCAGCGCCGCGCCGCGGGCTGGCAGGTAGCCGTTGGCGTCCTCTCCTTCAGCGCCATCGTCCAGTGCGCCGGCATGGCCATAGTGGTACGTGTCTTTCCCCGCGTTTTCCCTGCTTCTGCAGGGTCCCATGCCCATCGCAGAAGCAAAGCATGCTAACAGTCACACGCCCAGGCCTTCCTCTTCGACCACGACGAGCGCTTCTGGTCCGGCTGGCATCTCGACCTCTCCTGGACCCTCTGCACCGCCAGCTGGACCATCCTCTTCCTCACCTCCGTCGCCATCGCCGTATCCGCCTTCTACCTCCCCGTCGAGGGCGACTACGAGCTCATCCCAGAAGAATACTACGGTCCGCCAGACGATCGGTAAGGGCACACATACATCTACATCCACATCGCACATTGCGTATCTCGCTGCTGTGCAAGAAGAATCGTTTTAATTTGGGTGTGTAGGCTTCTTTCGCGCATCTCGGCTTGGGACAACGGCTTCAAAGGCCCTGACTCGGGCATGCAGTATAGTTACCAGCGCGATCAGGATAGCATGAGCGATGTTGTTAGTATTGCGGCGAGTAGCATTGCGCCTAGTGATCGCATGAGGAGAGGAAGCAGTATTGCGCCTAGTAATCGGAGGGAGAGTGATGCGAGGAGATAGGTGGATTACGAACGACGGTTTATATGCATAATGTGGTGGGACTAGGATGGGGGAGTCGGAGGCATATCTTTATCACTTTGGGCGACAGTTTGTCTGGTCTGTGTGTTGCGCTTTTTTGCGAGCTTTGTCTTGTTTTGTTTGAGTATTTGTTTTTTTTTTGGTCTACGATACCCTACTGCCATCCACCGGTGGTTGGGCACATATCTTCTCAGCTAGTCTGGATATCAAAATGTTATAAAATCTTTAACTGAGATGATACTCCCCCTTAGCTACTCGCAACGACGCCCAGAGCTCGTTGGTACAGCTACGTGTCCAACTACCTGTCGAGTGTGAGACTCAGGTTTAGTGGATTGCGATCACAATTCATTCTGAAATCTTAGCTTAATAACTCAAGTTACACTACAATTATGTGCTGCTGCCATCTTTCAGAGGGAGAGATAGAAGAATGAAACTTCGCCCTTGTATTTGTTGGTAAATGTATTAGCGCGCTGAACTGCGCCCACAACGCGGCAGATCTCCTCAATAACCCATTCAAGAATTGAAGCTGAATGTAACTCCTTAGAGATTCAGTGGTTAAAACTAAGATGTGAAGTTTGTTGCTCTAAGAACTTGTCCAAAAGCATAGAAAGAGCTAAAACCTGCGGAGAAAGAAAAATAAATGGAGTACCGATGCGTACCGTAAGCATTATGCTTCAACTTTCTTTAATACAAGTTCGAGTTTGGCGTACAGATCTCCGTAGGCCTTGATTGAATCTATCCTTCCCCACGGACGTATTGCAGCACATCGTGCTAGCCAATTGAAAGGATACTCCTCACGGATGACGAGACCTTGAGTATTCTTAGCAAGCTCAATCTCGCTTTTGTCGAAGTGAAAATACCAGTGTAGACACGCGTACCACAGCCCCAGAGAATGTGAAAGTAAAATCCCGGAAGGCGAACAGCTAAACTTGATCTCTGCGTGTATGTCTTGATTGTCTTGGGAAAAGCGTGTCATTAGCTCAACACACTTGGACGTTACAACACTATGCGCTTGTGCTTCGTCTACACAAAAGTTGATATCCGTGCATCGATTTCGATCGAGAAGAAAGTCACGTAAGGAGGGATGATGAAGGCGGACTGTTCGATTCTCATCTTCCGGCAGATCAAGGATTGCATGCAAGTCTTGGACGATCCGTTCGATGCCTTCTCTGCCCACGCCCAGCAGCTCACCCAGCGCTTGCACACTGAGAGGTACATGCAGGACTGTCAGGGTTCCGAGCACGAGTCTCAGCATCTTGCAATGATCTTCTTTCTCTTCTGCGGTGTATTCAGGAGAGAGTGAGTCTCGCAGAACGGTAAGGTATAAGTTGTCGAGATGTTTTTCGGGCTCCATCGGACGGTCATCATCCTTCATGATCGACTTCAATCTCCGCTCCGCAAATCGTCTTCCTTTTTGGATGAATCTACACGCTGTCGCCGCCCAGACGAAAAGACCACTGGCCTTCTCTGTCATCGTTGCAATGACCCTAGCACCGGGCCAATTCGCAGTTAGGTATTGTTGTTTACCGATAGTCTTTAGATTGTGGCTCAGGAAGAGCGCTATGTCAGCATTGACTATGTTGGGCGCTATGCGATGTAGCACGTAGCGCTGGAGCAGCGTGCTCGACATGTGGTCAAAAGACTCAAAACCATGTCGAATCGGTACTTCAGGTCTGCTCGTTACAAGTATTCGGAGTCGTAGTCCGTCCAGGTCCCGAGCTTCAGCCAACAGCTCAATGATTCTTCCGATGTCGTCGCCGTTATCGCACTCGTCCAGCGCATCAACAACTAGGATGACAGAACTGGCGTCGATTGTAAGGGCTGGTGCAAATGAAAAGTCAAGGACAAGGTGGCGCCACTGGTCGCGCAACGAAAGACTCGAGATATTAGGGAACTTCTTAAGTACATCAGCTAAATGCTGATGTATTCCTGGGACATGACTCGCAAGCTGGACGGCGATGCTGGTTACGAATTTGCCCGCATGACTAACATCGCCGCCGCCTTTGGAGAAGAAGAAGCTGGCCCCTAGGCGTCTTTGATCGTTGAGCCTGCGAGCCACAGTCCGCGCGATTGTCGACTTTCCCGTACCAGCGAGTCCACTCAACCAGTACAAACATCGTTCGTCTTGTGCATCTGTCCAATCGTATATCGCTTCTAAGAGGGCGGTTCGTGTCGAGGGGAGGCAGAAAGGCTCGTGCTGCCTGATGTACGCGTTGAACGGCGCCTCGACGGCGTGCGGCAATCGCTTGAGCTTGTCGGCCGAGGTTTGACTGTTCCTCCGTCAGCAACCCTGGACTTATCTTCCATCCCGAAGCAGTGCGCATACTTCACAACTGTTTGGCCATGGTTATGATACGCCCCCGTTTGGATGGCAAGCCTCCCACCGTCGTTATTGAAGCTGCAAGGCTGAGCGGGTGTATGTGGATCCATGGCTGCTAAGTAGCAAGGGCGAAGATGTGCGACATGTCACAGGAGAAGCAAGGCAGTGCAAGGGGATAGGGCAACGGATGTCGGCTTAGGGAAAGTATTGTGCGCATGGCAGGACTGAGGCAGCCACAGAGAGATTCTGCGAGGCAGACTTCTGGACGGCTGAAGGCTCATGCAGCCGATGGCGCCACACGCAGCGGTTCAGCCTTCCGCGTGAGCAACAACGAAAACGCGAGCGTTCCCGCATTATCGCGATCTATCAAACATTCCTTTCGTGGGCTTTCTTCTTATATCAGCATCCTCGTCTTTTCGCTGACTCTCACCATGGAACCAGCTGGTCTTGCATTTGGGATCGTGGCCCTTGCAAGCACCTTCAACAACGCCATAGACTGCTTCGAATACATCCGACTTGGACGTGCTTTCGGCACTAATTTCCAAACTAGCCTACTCAAGCTGGATAATGCAAGACTGCGACTTTCGCGTTGGGGCGAATCTGTTGGTTTGGACAGCGACTTCAGCAACGCTCACAATGTCAGGCTAGCAACAGGACCGCCGGGAGATGTAGCCGCAGCCGAAAGAGTACTGTCACAGATACTGGATCTGTTCGCAAACGCTGAGGGTATTTCGACTAAGTACAAAAACCGGGCAGGAGAAGTCGAGTGGAACCTTGCGACTTTAGACTCAGCCACAGACATGGAGCCTGTAGGTCAATTGCTACACGAAAGAATGCGCTCTCTATCCATCAAACGCCAGAATAGTACACCGTTACGGCAAAAGGTGCAGTGGGCACTTTACGAAGAGAAGCATTTCAAGAGGTTGATCGAAGATATCACGGATCTCGTCAGCGATCTCGTGCAATTGTTCCCCGCAGCATGCGAAGAACAGCGTAGACTGTGCAGAACAGAAGTGTCGGAGATCAGCTCCAGAGACTGTCTCCGTGCATTGAAAGAGATTGCGGCATTGCAAGACAAGGAACTCAACCGAGCTGTTATCGAGACTTTGCAGTCAGAGGCGAGTAACTTCATGCCAATGCGAACATCGGGCCAACACTGACATCGGAAACAGGATAACAGGAATGCGACGTTCAACAACTACGATTCTAAGATTGGTCAGCAAGTGGGTTGGACACATGTCTCTGGTAGTCAGGTGTTCAATGTTTCGTAGCGAGCTCCATAGTTCACGTGGAATGGGACGCGCTCCGTCTCTAAGCCCAGTAGTTCATCTTGTTAAGTCTTTTACGCTCTCTCGTGTTGTGAATCGTGGCGATGTCAGACAAGAACAACCTCCCTAATCTCCTCCTCATTCCGCATGATCTCCCCATCCATGTGATCGAGTAGAAAGCAGTCTCCGATGAAATGATAAGCATTCCTATCATCGTGCTCTCCCTCTGCCTTCCGCAATACAACCGGCACTCGCATCCCCATCAAAGCGCAAACCTCATCCCCAGGCCTTACACCAGGATAAGCCAATCCCATGTTCCCCTTGTCCGTGATGTAAAAGCAGCGATCCTCCGCGGCCACTATAACCGGCGACAGATACGTTGAGTGAAACGGAAAGACGTCAGGCTCCGAATCCAGAAACTCTTGCCAGTCTTGGAGACTAGGCAGATCCTCATCTGTACTGCGGCGCCATGAGGAACCTTCTTTCATCGAGTGCAGCGTTGCGCATAGTGTGCGTTGGAAAGGCTTTCGGATGATCGCTTCGTTGGTGCAGGATAGCACTTGCATGGCCAGTTGGTGCCAATGTCTCATGTTGGCCATCATCGCCCTCGGACCAGATTTAAGAGTGTGTGGTGTGCTCACATGACGAATGACATCTGCTTCCCGTGCTTTGACATGCAGCTCACCGTTGTCGGTTGAGATGAATGTGCCCACTGATTCTCCACTGCATTGGTACATTCCGGCAAGGCTAAGCCTGTGGCGCTCATACATGGGGTCGGTGGGCATACTAGCAAGATCGCGAACCCAAGATGGTCTGCCGTTGCCATTCGGCCCAAACCCATTGCCTTGCAGAACAGCTGAAACATCAGCAGTGTGATCTAGCATCAGTCGGTATACATCCGTCCAGGTCTCCGCTAAGGGTTCCGTGTAGTCCGGTTTGTAGTTGTCGAACATCCGCGGTGGTGCTAGCGCTAGGAAGGAAAAGACTTTGTCGCGGGGGTCATGACACTGTCGCTTCGAGAAGGAGAGTAGCGTTTCTTTGAATGGCATCACTCCGTCGATAGTGGATGTATGACCAGGTATAGTGGCAATGCTGCCGTGGTAATACTCTCGGAACCAATTGATCGTCTCATGCTCGTACATGAAAGCATCAATGACTTTGATCTTAAGCCAATGTTTCTTTGTTTCTAGAGTCTCAGGTAGGCAGCAGTAACTGACTCGCGTGTCTTGGTTTCGGATCGCTTGTGCGAAGCTGTTCCAGGTCGTATGGTAGGTCCCGTACCAGAGGATGGTGGATTTGGGTAGGATGACTTCTTGGACGGTCCAAGATCGCTGCCACCATGGGCTGCTTATCATGAGATCGAAGGCGATTCGGTCGTTGGTGAACTCTTCGCTAGGCTTTCCATCTTGCTCATCAAGAATGCCGGGAAGAGTGTGCCAGTGCTTTCCTTCTGCCATATGCTCGATCCAGGCGAAAGGGGCTGTTCCTGGTGGTAAAGAATCTGATATTGTACCAAGCCAAATGTGCACGACGGAACATCTGGAATAGATGTCCCCCATCATGGCCACCTGTTGCGATTTCTCGTTCAGGTCGGCTTGGTTTATGCATATGGCATCCGCCCAGAGTGTGAGGGTCTCGCTTGAGGCTCTGATGTGACAGAGGAAGTCGAAGAGGTTCGTCGTAATCTGTACTTCCCGGCCGTCTATATCGATCGGTACCGTCTTGTTGGGATCACCCCATACATAAGAGACGCATGCAAAAGTGCCAGCCGCACTTGCGAGATCCTTCACGCTCAGTGATGCTGTTATGCGCCCAGTGCTTGACGGGTGGAGATGTAATAACCGGATTTCCCGTCGACTGGCGTCTAGCAGTATTCCTTGATACTTGAATAGATTGTGAGTGTCCATCTTTGATGGCAATAGGTTCAAGCTTGAACGAGGTGAAGGACGTGGATTATCGGAAAGCGATAGACCTATGTCGTCATCTATTCACTTCATCTCTTCAGCTTTAAGTGGCTCGAAGTCCTCCGAAGTAGTTGTAGGCTCTTTCTCTTTTAGGAAGTTGGTAGGACTGCATTTGACCTCCTTGCACGTGACATCGTGGGGCGAGGGATGAATAAGCATTCTGTTGGTCGTGCTCGTGTCTGTCGATACGCGAGACCCATAACTGCCGAAATAGAGTCGAGGGGAAGGTGCGACGTCGACGCACGCTGTTGGTCTGGATGTTTTCCAGCATTCCAGTGTTTACGCTGCGATTGCGAAATTCATGGCAGAGCGACTGGCCGTGGGCATCTCTCAGGGCGCGTTTTGCTGAGGCCGCTAAGGCTGTTGTGCCCAAGTCTTGAGTCCAGCCACCTGGGCAGATTCGAAGGAAGGCGGGAAGCTAGGCGAGGCCTTGGCATGCAGGCGCCTTGCCGACGACGACAGGTACACAGCCTCCACTGATCTCATACGATTCCACGAATGACGGTAAAATCCAGGCTGACGAGTTGGGTTGCATGTTGCGATCAAGCTGAAACACGTGCTGTGTTTGAGTACCTAGCCTGCATCCTGCACTTCGTCCGAAAGGATTTGGGGTTGCTTCGCCTCCTTATCTTCCTAGGCCTGCAGCTTTGTATTGACTACATCATACAGCTCCGCGGACCCGGCGATATACCACGTCACACGCATGCATCTGCGTCTCATTGGCTGCAGTCAAATGTAAGTGTAAGGCGAACAATCGGATGCCGCTATGATGAGCGATGGGGCTACTACCTCGCCTCAACCTCAACGGAGGGGCTCACAATGGGGGAAGAAACACGTTTGATGTTTGACTTCGGGGTGTCCAAGAACGCCAGGGAATTGCGCCCCCCCAATCTAGATGCGACGACCACGGCGGTTGAGCTCCATTGAGGTACAATGTTTGCTTCTGCCGCGTTGCATCATACGCAAAGTCTTACCTCGTTGAGTGAGACCCGGTACGGATACCCGCGACAGCTGTGGAATGACCTCGATTGAAGAGCTCAAGACCATCAGGAAGTAGCGTTATGCGGAAGCCGTTCAAATAGAGGGAATGCTCGACGAGTGCATCATAGATGCACTCTTCCCAAGGGCTTGGAAAGCTTCTGCATACCGCGTGAACGCCGGTCAGGCGTACCTCTACAACGTGTAGCTTGCGTAACCGACGTGGCTGCGCCGTCCATCAATGGTCAAGGCGAGATCATACACCGTTCTTGTGAGGCATGGGAGGGGACGAAACGATACCCGGATATCTGTGCAATCATACACCCGCCGCGATATGGCGTTGAAGCGGTGCGCTGCCGTTACGATGCGCTTAGTATACTCCTACACTAGAATCCCCAACGGTATTCCACCGATTATTCAGCAATCTTACCAGCGGATTAGAAGATTGACCAGGTTCATTACCGCAGCACGGCGCGACACAGGCGAAATCTGGCCGAAAGCACCGTCTTGGGTACTCTGGCTGCAACGGCCCTACACCGACGATCCCGTCAGACTTTTCAGGAAAGAAATGCGGACAATCTTATTAAACGTTGCTCCTTCTAGGCATGCACATGCCTGTGTTCCTACCAGATTAGTTTGCTCGTGTACCTGTACTATGGTTCCGTCGGTGCCGGATAGTTCCAAGGTTTGATCGAAACATTCCGAAGAACGATCGGACTGCGCATGAGAAGTTTTCTGTTACTGCGACAGCATGTCTTGCTGTAAGTTTCCAGACCGTAAGCTTTGCGTTTTTAATTTGGCGTCGTTAGGCGCCCCGAAATAGCGGATTGTACCTAAGTAGGCGTGGCGCGAGTGCTGCTAGCCCGGCTATTCTGGGCAAACGAGCGAAAGATCAAACGCGATACGAGCCTCGCATCAATTTCTTCATTTTCGGACGGTTATACAAGGCGTCCAAGGGCGCATCCAAGGAGGAAGTATTTGCGCATTGCACCGAGGCTACTCTGCTTGTGCAGTCTTGGTTAGGTCAGCGTTCGGCCCGTTATGTTCACGATACTCGACGGGCAAGTCCCCAGACGTACAGGGCTGAGCTGGTCTTACTGCGCCGACAAGGGGGCGGGGGCGATCATCTCCGCTGCATGCTTAGCAGCTAATCAAACTATCGCATTCTCGCCAAGCTTTGCTTGTCAAGCCTGTCAGCGTTCGCAAGGGTCTGGACAGCGCAAGATATGCCGGGGTGTCCGCGACTCATGGTAGGCTGCCTACCTTTCGACGGGTTTGCCCCCTCGCATAATATGCTGTCCAACCGGATGCGGCTGGGCTTACGGGACCGGCGTGGAAAGGGATGAGGTTGAAATACGGCGGGCGTCGCTGCCTGCCGGTAAGCTTGTGTTCAGTCGTTCTCTTGCTCCAGCACCATGGCGTCCATGTCTGGGTCGAAGCCCAACTGGATGAAGCCCTCCGGCTCTTGGAATATCTTTGCCAGCCCTCGATGGATCCGGATTGCGCTGGGGACGTTTGTCATCGTGTCGACATTTGTTTTTCTCGCCGTGGAAACGCGCGCGTTCGATCACATTTCTATTCCGGAGTTTAAAAGTCACAAAAGCGACAGCGCCGCCAAATCAGAAGAAAAGAAGGAGCCAATCCCGCAACCACCGCCCTATGTCAACGCCAACATTACCCTCGACAGAGAGGAGAGACTAGCATACGTCACGTTTCTCTCCGGAACCGTTGATGCGGGCGATGATCTGGAGGAGGACAAGTACTTCCAAGCTATCCGCATTCTCGTCTGGCAGCTCGTACACAAAGAGGAGACTCGCACGAAGCACGATGTCGTCGTCATGGTCACACCCAGCGTCTCGCAGGCCCGGCGCGACCGCCTAGCGAAGGATGGTGCCATCGTCCACGCCGTCGAATTCCTGCACACCGAGAATGACAGCTGGGTCCACGCTGAGCTGCACCGATGGGACGACGTTATGACGAAACTACGCGTCTGGGAAATGACACAGTACGACCGCATTCTGGTGATGGACGGCGACTCGATGCTGCTCAAGAACCTCGACGGCGTGTTCGACGACCCAGGCGCCCAGCTCCTTGCCACCAAGCCCACGAACGAAACGAACCTACCCTCCACCTACCTCCTCGCATCCAACTCCGAAGTTTGGGACTCGACCCATTCCTTCCCACCCGGTCACGGCACCGGCCTGAAGAAGGCCGGCAAGATGAACGCAGGCTTCTTCATCCTCGCACCCTCGCTCGACGCATTCAACTACTACAAAGAGCTCCTCAACACGCCCAACTCCTTCGACCCCCGATACCCCGAACAAAACCTCATGAACTTCGCACATCGTTGGGACGGGCCGATGCCGTGGCGGGAGATCGCATACACTTGGAACATCCGTTGTCCGAACGACGTGGATATCGCCAAGGGGCTGGTCAGCGTCCACGAGAAGTGGTGGAAACAACCGTATATTTATGAGAATGCCAAGACGAAGCAATGGCTGTTGACGAGGCGGTGGGAAATGAAGGGCTGGTACGATGCTTTTGAGGGAGCGAACTTGACGCGTGTATGAGTACTTGCGATGGCATAGTAGCGAGGCGCTTTGGAGTTAGTTGTTTGGTGCGATAATACCCAATACCATATTTTGTTCATTTCAAGATCACATCATACATTTTTTGGCCCATGATGCATAGCTTAGAGTGATGTTTAGTTCACGGCGTTACTGTATCGAAGGGGCGAGTTAATGAAGAACTGAGGAACATATTATATCATGCGCTGTAAAGACATGCTGCAATGCCTATCCATGCGTGTAGGTCGACCCAGTCAACTTACATCTGCTTAGAAATGCTATCCATACGGTCCTGAAGCGATCGCATAGCGTCATTAATGATAGTCATCCGCCCCTCCGTGATTTCTGCTCCAGCCGGGATACGAGGCCTCAGTTCGGGCTTCTGCTCCATCTCCTCGGCTAATGCCACCATATCATCCTTGATCTTCTGCTTCTCGTCACGATCGATCCTGGCTTCTTCGATCTCCTTTTGGTACAACTCTAGTGCAAGTGTACCGATGTCACCAGCTTGAAGCGCGTTGTGGTACTCGAACCGTTTTCTTCGCACGTTGTTCTCTGCCTTGGCGGCGTTGATGGTGCTATCGTCCACGGCCTGGAACATCTTATCTTCGACTTCTTTCAGAGGTTTCAAAACAGATTCGACGTCACGATGTCGTGCGCTGTAGGCGGCGATTTGCTCATCTGCAGTACCTTTTGGCCGGTCTGGATCCTCTTCGCCGCTAGCAGTGGACTCATGAAGCTGGAATGTAAACGCATTTTCTTGATCCTTCAGTTCTTCCATTCCAGATGAAAGATCTTGTTCTGGAGTGACCTGGTCGATCTCTTCGAACAGCTCAAGCACCCGCTGTGTACTGAGGTTCGTCAGGCAGCCTGCACGCAGGAGGTTGCTGGACCAATACAATGACGTTGGGTAAGAGAGGTTCGCAAACGAGAAGGGATCTAAGTCCCCTTCGGCAAGCATAAGCGGATCCCACTTAGCTAGGTACTGGGGGTCTTTTTCAGTAAGCTTATTGCGGTCAAAGACCTCCCCTTCCTTTCGAAAACCGATGTAAGCATATCGTTCTGCCTCACCAAGACCTTCTAGCCCCTGCAACTCTCGGGATGTCACAGGTATGAACACCCCGTGCTTTCGGTGTTTCTTTACGAGGACAAAAAATCGATCTTTGGGTACCGCTTGGCCAAAGATGGTGGGTGTCATTCCTTTTTCTCCAATTTCACGAGGAGATGTGGTTGCTTCGTGTACTATGGCTCGAAACAAGTCACCTAGCTCGAGCCGGTCAATCTCCGCTTGTGAGAGGAGCCGAAAGTGCTTGGTGTTCGAAGCTTTAACAAGATAGACCGCCTCAATCCGCTCACCGGGGAATTCGTCAATGATTGGACCATCGAAGCCAGGAGGTATTGCTCGCCATAACAGTCTATCCATGTCGGCTTCGCTACGGGCACGTCTGGCATAAGGTGACCAGGTAGCGCGTCTGCCCCTACTAGGCCGAGGCCCCGCGTTTGTTCTTGCCATATCTGTCGTCAATATGCGTGTTCAGATGCTAAAGCCGTGAAGATCCGAAAACGACTTCCGTGGTTGAATTGGGTTGTAGTTACGGGTATGATCGGTGTGGATGCAGGGGGGTTCTTCGTGGGTAACACCGCAAGTATTTTCACATTTATAGTTTCATGCAATGGTCCGTGAACATTGCGATGCACATATTTTGGCTCAGTGAAGCCGATCGTGCTCTGTGAACGTGCAACGTCGCTGCAATCATATTGCTACTCGCTGCATAGCGAACCAACACATGCCATTCACTGAGTGAATAGGGTGGCGGACACATCGGCAACGTAATGGACCGAAAGGTAATTAGTCGCCTAATGTCATCGAAAACCGTTCCAATGCTCGAGTCCTTTTGTTGATGTTGACCCGCGGCATGATGTGTTGAGACAGTATCTACTCGCCACTTACAGAAGCGAAGCCGCAAGACACTAGAGACCTAGGACTCAAGTATATAAGACAAGCTTTAACCACAATGTAAAACTGTACAAAGGAGTGCATTGTTCTCGCTTACATCTACAGTCTCAAACACCTAGTCTTCCCTTCGCCTCAGACGTAGCCCCTCCATCATGGCCAACATTAAAGATTACTTCGAAGAAGTCCCTCAGTATGAAGCAGATGAGACTGAAAAGACCAGAAAACGAGCGCTCGAATGTGACGACGACAATAATGGCGATAATAGCGAAAGATGTGCAGCTAAGCAGGGCAGCAAAGGCGTCACACAAAACATGCGAACAAAGAAAAGAAGAACGACCGGAGAACCGCCTCCAGATATATATCAAAGCCGGAGAAAATTGTCTTCGTCGTTGGAAAAAGGTATGAAAGACGTCGGAAGTTGAACATTCCAATGGCTAACAACGATACAGGAACGCATGACAATTCTATCCGAGGTTCACCTCTGGAAGGCCCAGAAAGTGCGATCATGGAGAGCATGGTAGACATCGAGCATCTGTGCGCCAACGAAGCTGCCGAGATGTTCATCTTGAAGAGAGCTAAGACTGACCAGGTGGACAGCAGCCCGCCTGTAATGTTGATGAAGGTTCCATACAAGCTGGGAACGATGATCCAAAACCAGATCTCAACCGGCCTCAAATACCGGCGCGAAAAAGACATATCCATACCGAAACTGGACCAGGAATTGAGAATGAGCAGGCTGTCGCAAAAGTCCGTCGAGCATCGTTTGCAAGGATTGCCGAAGCTCAGTGGAGGCCGAACGCCGACTCCGCATGAAAGTCCTACGGCTGAGCGCTTGCACCGAGAAGCGCATGAGATAAATCAAAAGATGGAAAGGATTGACCAGAAAAAGAAAACTCTATTGCGGGACATCGAACTTGCCCGTAAAGCATGGGAAGGTGTTGCAATGGTAGTAGAGGAGAATTTGCAGGATATCTTTGTCCGGTGCGGGCTGTTTGAGGATGATAAGGCGGTGAGTGCTCCTCCCGTCGCGCAGAGGGTTGAAGGAATGAGGGTGGCGAGTAAGCCTCCCATCGTGTCACGCTTCGATGAAAATAAGGATTCTAAGCTTCTGCCTGGCAAGAATGAAGCCACGACGATAGCAGCAAATGTGGAAGAGTTGAGCGTTGGTCAGGCCATTGCTATCGTGAGAGAGGCCAAAGCTCGGAGAGAGAAGCACGAGGCTCAAAGACAACACGACGAACATCGTAACACTTTCCGACGAGGACTTCTCGCGGCACGCGTTGCTGCTGCTGCCGACCGACCGGATGCACCCGGCCGCCTCATAGAGGAAGAGTTCAGCCGCGACTATGTGCGCGCCGGAAGCAAGCTTGCTGAAGCGGTGACACGTGCAGAAGCGGCCCATGAAGCTCAGTTGGTAGCTGCAGCAGAAGCAGCAGTCTCCATCATAGGCTCGGACGATGACAGGGAACCAAACTTCCCATACGATCTTGAGGAATACGCAGCAGTCAAGAAGCAATGTCTTGACCAAGAAGCCGTCCAGGAATGGATCAATGCTATTGACGCGAGCTCCAAACCCAACCTGCGGCCTTTGGGGTACCTACTGCACATGGCAGAGAAGTGGAAACGGGCAGCAGAGGGATATGACGACGTCTCGAGCTCAGGAGAAGACCTCATGCCGAGTGCCGTCGTTGAGCCCCGCAGAGAGATATCAGAAATACAAGACTCTGTGCTGAAGCCGGCATCGAAAAGTAAGTCCTGGCGCACGGAGCCGTACTGGAGCTTCAGCGACTGCGCTGAGGGGAAGAAACGGCGACGGATCGACGACTGGACACGCAGGATACAACAACCCGTTGGATAGGAATCACTATAGACCTATTAATGAATATTCGAATGTATGCACGTTTCACCCAGTTCCACGTGTGCGAAGATGGTGATGGTGCGGATGAGCGCGATCTGTGCAATCTCGATCACGTCATCAATTGATGGCATGACACAACTAAGCTCAGAACAGTTAGCGGCTTGGCGCGCCCTTGGAGGGAAAGGAGTGCCAAACCTCGCGATCTCACGAGCGCATTTGCATCACGCCTTGCGCGTTGTACGAGCATTTATTAATATCGATACTACTTCCACCGTGGCTACAGCTGTTTTATACTACGTTTCTGCGTAAACCAATTGTTCACTCCTTGGCCGAATCGCAATCGCGGGATGTCCGCGAGGTGAAGAGCGACACGCAAAGGCTTCCAAATGCATGAAACCGGGCGCTCTCAGCTTGCGCATCCCAAATATCTTCTCCAAATCCAGGCCATCATATCTAGAGACCACATCAGGCCTTCGTGGCACCGTCGCTGTCGTCGACCGAGCCTTGACCAGCTACCTGTGTGGTAGCTTCCAATGGGTCAGTGCTGGTGTCTCTCTTGCGGTACAGCTGCCTCGATACATGGCCAGTAAGATAGCCATCGAAATCGCGCATACACAGTGACGCGCCGATTGCAAGCACCCCGATAGCGACAGCGAAGTAGTATACGTAAGCATACGATTCGGAGTAAGCATCGCTGATAGCTATGTTGGTGGTGCGAAGCAGTTCCGGTGTCATGCCATCGATTTCTAGAAGAGCTGTTTGGTTGGCGGTCGCGGCAGCTGCCATTAGCGCACTCAAGGAGCTTTCCGGTAGTCCATCTGCTAAAACGCGTTGCGGTACTATCGATGCAAGGTAGCCCGGCACTTTGTTCGTATACACTGCGATGAATGCGGCCGTGAAGATGGAACCGAAGATAGTGCGGGATGCCGAGATCACAGCTATCGCCGGTCAGCAATGACACTTTGGCGAGATTGTAAACGGAAGACTTACAGAACGCAACACCGAGGTCTTGGTCTGAGACTACATACTGTACGACAATCGCTGCGATGACCTCGCCCCACCCAATGGTCCAACCCGCCAGAAACGAAAAGGCAATCGCACGAGCTTTGTTTTCCACCGTGATGCTGGCCATTGCACCAAGGAAAGCGGTCATCCAGATCGAAGAGACCAAGATCTGGTATCTGATGTGGCCAATCCACGACATAAGAGGACCGAGAATGACTATCCCGCCCCAAAGGCCGAATGCAGCTGTTGTTGAAAGCCATGCGGTCTCCTCCCAGGAACTAACAGTGGAACCAAAGATATAGACAACCTGTTGTGGCCACATAACGAAAAGCGCGATATTGATGACACCGTAAGTCGCTGAAATGACTTCCAGACAGGTGAACCCACGTATGTCGCGGAAGAAGCGCATCGGAACGATCGGTTGTACCGGCGTTAGGAAGACCTCGTAGAGGATAAACGCGATAATGGCCACTGCACCCGAGAGCAAAAGACCGAGGATTCTTGGAGATGACCACGGCTGTGCAGGACCGCCCCAAGAGATGCCAAGTAGGAAAAGAGCCAGACCAGCTACCAAAAGGGCGACCCCTGTCCAGTCGACCTTCTTGAGTTCGGTGATCTTGCTGGACTTCTTGCCGTGAAGCTGGGTATAAGAAGGCGGATGGTAGAAGAAAAACCACAAGACAGCGCCGGGAACTGATGGTCGTTAGCATGTCAAGGCGCCGCAAGATATGCCGACTCACCCATCATCATAATGTATATGTAGAAGATCCATCGCCAATCAGCTACCTGAACCAATCGCAGACCAATGTATGCCCCAAAGCCGGTCGCAATCACATTTGGCACGACGACTAGAGCAGTACCAACATATTTGTACCTGTTACTTACGAGCTCGCCCGCTAGGAGTGGATACGCTGCTGGCACTCCAGACGCGATGCCCATAATAACTTCGGCTCCAATCAACGTCTCGATAGACTGCGCTGTGGCCGCGACGATGCCACCAATGATCGCAAGCACGCAGGAACCCAAGGCAAAGTTGCGGCGCCCAAAGCGATCGCTGAGTCGACCAAACAGCAAGAGGGAGATAGGCTGCGACACGGTCCATACTGTACTGACGAGGGCAACGTTGGCGCTTGGCCCGATGTCTGCGTTGACGGAAGATATCGCAGCAGCTAAGGCTTGGAACTGGAAATACGTCGCAAGTACGACGATTCCAGTTCCAGAGAATGAGCCAACGATCCTTGCACTGAAGAAGTAACCATTTTGTAGCTTGGAGACATCAGTCGAAAGGGCCTTGGATCGTAGTCGGTCCGCTTCTTCAGGATTGAGGGAAGTGGGAGATGTGCCGGGTCCTGGAATGTGCTTCTCGGACAAGGTGTCTGGTGGAGTACTGTTGCTGTCAAGGTGAGACATCTTGTTCAACGAGGATACTGCCTTGGGGTGAGAGAAGAAGGCGTGGGATGTTAAGATGGAAATGAAAATGACTGTCAGTGTATCTAAAACCAAGAGCTGTACAAAAACAGGTTAGTGTCCAGATCAGCATAGCTATGAGCTTGCCTTAGACTGCCATAGCTTCCCCTCACGCACAGTCGATATCTTGATCGCCAAAAGTCCCAGACATGCAGTAGCGCATGCAGCACCGTTCCAGGAACGTTGACCCGCAAGCGCAGTGGCCTTAGCACACAAGCCCATTCCAAGGGACTTCCGTTCTCAGCGAAGGAGATCGTCCATGGAAGTTGTCCACAAGAATGGCTTCGCCTCTTACAAGCTTTGAGGTTGTGCTCAACGCTCGGATCGGTAACTGTAGCATCTGTCGAGTAATGGGCAAAACATGTAAGGGCTTTCACATGTGTTCTAAGCCAGGGTACACTGCATGTCGTTTCGTGACTGTTGGGATATTGATACTAGCCGCTGGCGTGGCTAATCAGCCATGCATCAGCGACAGGGGTCTCTTGTGCGCCGATCCATGAGCTCTAGATCCAAGTGCTATTGATCTATGATTTTGACAGACTGGCGAAGGACGCAAGAATTCATCGATGAGAGGTAGCTATTCTTTATATGCTATCGTGTATGACCATGTGCTACGGCTCATCACGCACTGGACGCTCAATCATCCGCTCTGAATTTTCTCTGCCTCATTGCATGTGTCCAGCCGTCAGTCTTATTCAATGGCCTTTCGTTTTCTCATAGCTGACCTCATACTCATGGTCTATCTGTATGTTATGCGGCCCGTGTCGGCTCATAATGTTGCGCGTAGACCTATCATCGTCACCTAGAGATGAGGTACCATCCGGATCTTCTCCAACACCAACAGCTGCCTTGAGTCCTGTTCGCCCGCTCAGCCTCTTCGACAACATTGTCCTCTTTTTACTGCCGATACCCTCCTCAAGCTCCATGTATGCATCGCCAGACGCCTGATCGCCGGTACGCTTCTTGCTGCTGCGCAATGTCGATCCAAGGTCGAGCATCTTCTCGAGAAGGGGACGCAAGGCCGAAAGGTTTGCGAGGACAACGCCAAGCCCAAGCTCAGCATGCGCCCATGCAGCTACAGGCATAGCGTAGTAGAGGAAGTCTGTTGTTGCGCTGAGGTTGAGTGTTACGGTGAGGCGAACGATGGCTGCTGTTGATGCGAATATACCGAGGCCGAGGAGGGCGATGATGGAGATCTTGACGCGGAGATCGATCTGGACGTTCCAAAGGAGTGGAATGGGACTATGCCACGATCAGTCAAGACACAAGCAAATACTTCGGTAAGACTCACATGATTGCGCAAAACCAATCCGAGAAGATTGAAACCGCAGAGAGCGCAAAGCTGAATCCAGTAATGTTGCTTTGCGCCTTGCAGGTGCCTCCTTCCACAGCCTTCCAGTTCATTGCAATTGGTGTGCAATGGAAGAACTCGTATATAGTCGTCGAGGCCATAACACACGCAACCGCCGCCATAATCGCATATATTGACCACTCATATGCCTTTTTCCCATTGGCGATGCGGAGTAAGGTGAAGCAAATGGCCCATTTGACGGGGATGGCGGCAAGGCAGAACATGGTTTGCATGATGAACCTGTGTGAGGTCAATTACTGTCGAGCTTGCAGTCTGTGACATGGCAGAACTGACCACCACTGTATATAGTGAGCATGATTAACCTTGTTGATACACTGCTTAACTTACAAACATAGCGGTCTGCTTCTCGTTGACTGTAAGTTCGTCGTCCCTCTTTCCACCTCCTGTGAAGGCGATTCCAAGCATACCCATCGTTGAGATGATGAAAAGTGGCTGTTCTATGTAAGCAAATGTGATATTGGTAGACCTTGACATGTTCGTACAATTGCAGCTACCATAGACCAGTCATCCGGACCCCATGCTTTCCTAGAAAGTCGGACATGAAAGCGAAGCGCTCAAGTGATGATATCGAAAGGAAGCAAAACAAGGACGGCCAATGCCAGCGAGGGGGAGGTAGGACTAGGCATAATGCTCGATGAAGTCTCCTCTCCTTCCCCATGACTACTTTATGTGCTGACAGTAGGAAAGCACCCGTGCTTCGTGAGTGTCCCCTTTCATGGATCCCTTGACGAGAGATGTCCAGGAAGATGAACAATACTGCTACCATCTTGAGCTTCACGCACATCCTCTTCGGAACCTGAGACAAGATCTTGCCTCTGAATCTTGGTAATCCCTCATGCTGAGGCGATGATCCTGCCGAGGTTGCATCCTACTCCCAAAGTAGCGCCTTGCAGCGACATCCAAGTCTAACGACGAGGCCTGATGTAAATGTGACAGGTCGAGCAGTCAGTGCTACCAATGGACCGCGCTTTGCGCATGTGACATGCGAGGATGCGGCATGGTCGTGATATTTCCGAGTCCATGCGTCGCTGTCGGCCCCACGTCGCTTGCCACGCCCGCAAAGGATGGGGCATGTGCTACGGGAGGTCAACGAACCGAGAGAATCTTTGATGGCAACACGAGTGACTAGATGAGAAGAGGGTAGGGAAGACAGTAGCTGGTCAATAATGGGAGGGAAGCTTGAGGGGGAAGCCTGACGCACAGATACCTGCCCCGGGCGGGGAAGGCGGAAGGACGCCCCCCAAACGGGCTGTGGCGCGGTATCCTTGAAATTCGCCCGCTGCCGGCACATTGCATGCCATGCAGGCACAACTACAACCGGTATGGAGCTACAGTATATGCGAGAGCTCTTATGTTCTAGACAGACTTCAATTCGGAGGGCTAACAAGAAGTCCAGACGTTTCCGGAGGCAGTACCTGCGGGCTCTCTGAAGGACCACCTGATTGGACGTGCGACCCGATGCACAGCAAATTTTGCAAGACTCATTGTGCTGTCAAGCCACCATCAACGTTCAACACCTGTCCAGTTACCCACTGCGCATCATCGCTAGCGAGATAAACCGCAGCTCTCGCATGGTCGTGGGGGTGACCAAATTTGCCGCGAGGAATAGAGGCTTTGACCGCGTCCGCTGCGGACGACAAGGCCCCACCAAGCGCATCCTCGAGCATTGCAGTTTGCGAAACTGGCGAAAGACATTAGAGTAGTCCATGCGATACTGAAAAGGGCGACTTACATCCAGGAGCAATGCAGTTAGCGACTATACCTTCTTTCGCAACATCCAGCGCAATGGTTCGCGTCATCGCAGCCACAGCACCCTTGGACGCCGTATACCCAGCTGGAACGTGTAAGCCCAACGCCAAAAGCAAAATCATCGTATGTTTTCGCGTGGAATAACTTACTGAGGCCCTGCATACCGATGTTGGATACCATCGAAGCGAGATTTACGATCCAGCCGCGCATACCATTGGGCTGTGGCGCTTGTGCCTTGAACTGACGAACGGCGTATTTGCAGCCAAGGAAGACTCCTCGTGCGTTGATGCGCATGTGAGCGTCAAACATATCTTCATCGACTTGATCGATGGGTTGTGGGTTGCTGGCCTCTGTGCAGATGCCTGCGTTATTGACCACTCTTTTAGGGCAACGATATCAGTCACTTCTCCTACTTGATGGTATACATGATAGCTGGATGGATACTTACATATCAAGTCGACCATATATCTCTGCTGCTCGCGCAACGAGTGCCTCCCAGCTGGCGGCTACACTGACATCGGTCTCAACGAAAACGGCCCGCCCGCCTTTGCCGATGATCCATTCGTGTGTAGCAGTGTCTTCGCCCTTTCCAACAGGTCTAAGATCAGCGCACACGAGCAAGGCTCCTTCAACGAAGAACTGATGACAGATCTCCCGCCCGATACCTTGGGACGAGCCCGTTACTATCGCGACTCGGTTTTGCAGCCTCATGATGGATGCTTCGATGGGAGGACCAGTCAAAATGAAATGATATACAAGTTCGACCAGAGGGGGCTGTAAGGACGTGAAAGGTTGCTCAGATCGCAGAAGACATAGCAGCACACAGTTCGAAAACCAAAGTATCAAGAAGGTGAGGCGGGCCAGTTGCATGTATCCCTTCTTCTCCGCCGATCTAGCCAAGCCTATCCCCACCCGCGGGACATACCCATGTTCTTCCGCCTACGCGAAGGATCATTATCACATGCAGCACCCGGGATGGAGTATTCGCCAAACTATTGGTGTCAATGCAAGATTCGTTGGCATACACGCGGGCATAAAAATCAAGTAGGTTACGTTCGACTAGAGTGGGCAACTAGGCGGCGACTGTGCTGTCTCAATCTAGCACCAACATCGGCCATGACGAGACCTTTGGAGAACAAGTTAGCAATCATCACTGGTGCATCCCGCGGTATGTATGTCCCTCCATTCCGTGACCCCAATGAAGAGAAGACGCTGATTGAGCTTCAAAAGGCCTTGGGGCTGCTCTGGCACGCCATCTGGCTTCCAAGGGAGCGAACATCGTCATCAACTACACTTCGGAATCTTCAACAGACAATGCAACCGCTTTAGGTGAAGAGCTAGAAGCCAATCACTCTATCAAGACTCTAGTAGCAAAAGTTGATGTTACTACACCCGACGGCCCGGACCAACTCATCGATGCGGCGAAATCGGCTTTTAGCGACAACAACAAGTTCCAGATCGACATACTTGTAAACAATGCGGCAGTCGTCAATCCAGCGCCGATGGGCTCAGTCGCAATGTCCGACTTCGAAGCCACCTTCAACCTAAATGCGCGCGCTCCACTCTTCGTCTTACAGGCTGCACTGCCGTATCTACCGAACGACAGATCCGGTCGTGTGATCAACGTATCCAGTATCACAACCTCGATGGGATTCTGGTGGCAGTCTTGCTACGCTGGCACCAAAGGCGCTCTTGAAGCAATGACACGTGTCTGGGCCCGTGAGCTCGCCGAACGCTGCACAGTCAACTCCATCAATCCGGGTGCGATCGCGACTGGCATGTATACGAGCCTCCCAAAGGAGATGTTGGAGAGGGCATGGTCGCTCAACTATATGGCACCTTTGGCTGCGACGAGAGAAGGTATCGATTCGGAGGAGACGATTGCGGCGGCAAAGGACCTAGGTGGGAGACCGGCGTATCTGGAGGAGGTCGCTGGGGTTGTTGGGTTACTGTGTATGCCTGAGGCTGGATGGGTTACCGGTCAGGTCATTGGAACCAACGGTGGTGGTGTTATGACGAAGGGGTAAAATACGATGGCCACAGTGAAGATACGCAAGTTCGTCAGCGGCTATACGACTGTGCAGAAAGTACAGTGGACTAATCCAAGGCATAGACGGGTCACTGCATGAGCTATCAAGCTTCAAGTACGAGTTTCATGTGTGGTAAATGCTTCATCGCACTACCTTACAGTTATGCACACCTTTTTCATTCGCTGGAAATTTATGATATGCTAGAGACGTGAACTCTAACGTAAGCCGTGTGTAATATGCAGTGCGTCCAAAGTCTCGGGACAATAGACGAAGATAGCAAGCCGAGCGCCACCCATTAACTCAAAGCTTTGCTAAACACTGAAGAAAAGAAACGAAACCGACCCTTTAGGGGTGTGAATTCATGAAAGCCGACCAGACCGAATGGAAAATGTGTCAAATCCTCCGAGTGCGTGATGAAGCCCTGAAATCGCAGTAAATACTGGGACATAGGATACAGCGGAACCGAGAATGTAGCGGATATACAGCCAATATTTCCAAGATACGTATGCGATGCGGCCAGTGTAAGCATCGCTGCTAAGGGAGTGGAGTGCGCCGACGTTGATCAAGACGGTTCTTGGCCCTGCGAGTCTCTAGCTGGGCCCTCGAAAATGCGCTTGTCAGAGTGTTGCACAACTTTATCTCCTTGTCCTGGCCACGGTACTGGCTCGCCTGGAAACTTCTGACGTCCCTGTGAAGCTTCTTGTAGCTCATTTCACGAACTTGTGCAATTTCAAGTTCCATCTCGACATCGTCCCGCTTGCGCTTTAGGTTCCTCCGCTCGCCAGTAGTTGACCACCGATCAGCTTCGACCGTCTCATACTCCTCTTTCGCCTGGTAAAGCATATCCTCCTTCTGGCAAACAGCTGCTGCTGCAGACTTCCAGTTTGCATGAGAAACAGATTTCGCTTTCTGTATTATTGAAGAGGGTGATACGCCGCGGCCATTGTCGGGGATGGAGAATATGGACTCAACAGGCTCACTAGCCACCAGAGGTGGTGCGTTAGCTGCCTCGATAGCGCGACGGTTGCCCTCCACCAGCGCTTCAAACTCTTCGAGATCATCTTGTTGGTTTGATGTCTGTCCCGAGGAGGTACTAGTTGCCTGGGCGGGAGGAGAAAGTAGTCGTCGATATTCATCCTTGATGTGTGATAGCGCTGTTCGCTGCTCTGGAGTCAGCCTGGAGGGAAGCGGCGCTCGCAGGAATTTTCGGTCGTATCGCGATTCTACAATCGCTCGCAATCTAGACATCTGTGCCTGCATTGCCAACAACTGCTCTGTCGATTCCGCCTTTAGCCAGCCGCATGGAAGGGAATGGTCGTCGAATCCTAGGGTATGGAGACGACCTGGCTGTACTACACTCCACCCTGATAGTTGGAAGTCGTCATCCTCGTAGCCACCAATTTCGAGCGGTTTTGCGACAGAGCGGAACAAGAGATGATCTTCGGAAAGAGTATCGTAGTCGTGGCTGTAGTTGAGGTCCAGAGCGACGCCACAGCGGCCCAGAAGGTCACTCAGTGAGAGTCCGTCAAGATACTGGCGACGTCGACGACCCAGCTCTGCGACTACACAGTATTGTTTGTCTACACGAACGACCACTGTGGGGCGCCATTTTCCTAGCATCAGGCCCTCGCTAGTCCGGATTGCCTGATCACCGCCGTTGTTGATCAGGCCGGGATCAGAACTAGTCTCGACGATGTATGTCCAGCGTACCTGACCAACTTCGTACTCTTTGCGATCACGCGGTCTAGCTGGACGATTCATTCGATCCGTAACTGGTGTGACACCCACGATGACTTCGTCTGAGTTCACTTGCTGAAGCATCGATTCCCAGCTATTTTGACCAGCTCTTGATAAAAAGTGATTGACCTCGTACCTAAGCCTCTCATGCCTGTCGGGAAGCGGAGGGTTTTGAGGCAGGTCAACTGGGACCCATCCATCAGATCGGGGAGGGTAATCAGGCCGATAACAATCGTTGTTCTCTGTGAGAGATTGAGCGCTCGATCCTGAAGTGGAAGACAATGATCGAGAAGTCTTTTGCGAAGGATGACGTGCTTCTTGCGCGGTGTCGTTGTTGGCTGACGCAACGGCGCTGGAATGATCCCGCTCGGCGACTGTGTCGACACGTCTGTCCGAAGGCCGAGTGGATTCAGACGTTGCAACATTGATCTTGGCATACGGACCTTCACGGCGTTAGTTGATGTAAAGCTACGACCGGACACGTAAGCCGATAGGAATAGGACAGACTATCGAGGAGTCTGGTCCACGGTAAACATACCAGTATGAGGCGGTTCTGATGACGAGCTGCGAACAGTGTTCTTCTGGTCAACATCGACGCTTGCCTGAACGCCGTTGGCTGTATTAGTACCGGAGAAATTGATGGTGATATTACTCGAAGCTGCTAGTTTTGAAGAGGGGGAGTTGTCGGCGTTAACGCGCGAGGCTTGTGGAGAGACTGCGACGGGTCGTGGAGAGACACGGTCGGCTTGCAGGTCAGCTTGTTTGTCGCTCGATAAAGGGTCGAGTATAATACCACTGGAAGTTCCAGACTTGTTCGCCATGATGTAGGCCCGATATTCGATGGTTGATGGCGTTTGTGTAGGACACGGCGGGGTCGGGAAGCGCCTTGTCTTGCAGTAATGATATATCAGCCGCGACCGCAATGACCGCAGTCAGCGACGATGGATCGTACTGCAAGTTCAAGCTTGCGCGTTGTGGAGGTGTCGTTTGGATGGCGGTGCTGTGGGGGAGCTTGCGTGACTCTGGAGGAAGCTGTCAGATCAATTGGAGAGTAACCACGGGTAGGCTCACAGATCACGAGAATGCTTACTAGACCGATTAGGAAACACTCAGCAGAGCGTTTGCGGCTTAAGCCCAATTGGGAGACGAGTAGAGCATTCACTATGCCTCGCAGAGCCGTAATGAAACGGCAACAAAGCCCGGATGGTCATTGTGAGTATCGCAAATCTGCTGGGTCTGGATGACAATCCCCCACTGACGAGAATATGTGTACTCATGACATTCCTTCACTCCAAGAAAGCGGACGTGAATGAGACCTAGAGATCGTATCGCAAGCTGGTGAGGCCGACATCCGTTTGAATCTGAAAAGACGATCTATACACGCAACAATAGGAACTACGGCGACAGTTGCAAAGTCCAGACAAAGACACCGGTCTCTTGGCGCGACAGCGAATAAGAAAATTGGAACAAATACGTAGAGTAATAGTGAGGCCAGTAAGCTAGAGCCCGCTAGTACCGCACAGTCGTCACTGATACGTGCGGACAAACTGCGACCACGCACGGCATCCTACCTTTGTTGCAGCTTCCTACACACGAGCGTTGGCCAAATTCGATACGTGGCAATACTTTCCAGCCTATACAGTGAGCTACCTGTGAACGAAGTCGCTGCACAAACAGCGCCAGGACCATCGACATACGGAGACATGGCCGCACCCATATCAACATTGCCAATTGGCACGACGGCAGCCTCGTCTCTGGCTAACGGCGGTGAGTGCTCAAAGGCAGATCCCCGGGAACTAGAAGGCGATACACGCGCCCGCGACAGTTCTGCGTCGGTACCGAATCTCATTCGACGCGAAATCGAGACGAGTGAACACAATTCTGAAAATCCTTCAGAGCTTTCGAAAGGCTCCCCAGTCGGCGCGGTTATGAGAGCAGATTCTGTAGTCGATAACTGGGAGTCTCCAGACGGGCTGAACTCTGAAGACCTGTACACACGAGGGGCCCCGCGGATATTCCAGCGAGAGTGCAGCAATGGGGACAAGGGCGGTCTTTGCTTGAAGCTGTCGTATGAATTCGCTGAAAGGATGAAGGAGAAGGTCGAAGCAGGCCGTCATTTGCGCGCTTTGACCGACGCAGTGGCTCAACGCGCGGAGGACTTGTCAAATGAAGAAAGTCGTCTCAAGGAGCTCGAAGGTGAGCAGCAAGAGAAGCTTGTGGAGATGCTTGCAGTTGTTAAACGGAACGGCCGAAAACCCACTCAAGACGAAATGCTGGAAGTTCGGGCACTTTCAGCAGATATCAGAACCGCTTGCCAAGTGCAGGATGATCTGAAAGCTCAGCGAGATTATTTGCCTGAATACTTGCAAAACTTCAGACATATATGGCTTGATCTTGTGCGACAAACAGAGGCCATGGAGGAAGATATCCTTACGAGATCCAATCTTCTGCCAGAGTCAGAGGGAAAGATCCAGCCGCCTTGGAAGATCAATCCTGAGAAGCCCAACCAACCATCACTCAACCCCAATCATGCCCAATGGCCGCTCTCGGTACCTAAGACGGACAGAAGCTGTTTGAAAACCGCACCAGCACCAACACGCAACCACCGTGAGCTCACACGCGCACGAATCGAGATGAAAGAGCGGTCTAAACGACGTGCATGGCAAGCAGCCCACGAGAAGCATGAGGACCATCGCAAAGAATACAGGCGCATGCTAGAACAATACATCAGTCAGCAAGTGAACCGCCCAGTCGTCGACTTCCAAGCAGAGTTCTCTCGACACTGGCTTGAAGGTTGGCGCCCTCTTATCCGTGGCCTCGACGAAGCTGAGAAGGCATATGTCAAAGTGATGGAAGAAGCTCGAGCTGCTGATGTCACGATTTATGATCCTGAGGACGATGATGACCCCACCATTGCATACGACATAGACTTGTGGGACCAAGTGTCGATAAAACAGCTCGACCGTGGTCACATTGAGAGATGGCATGCTGGTGTTGCCGCTGGTGTCTATGGACCAGAGCAGCCTGCTGGGAAGGACGAAGCCGAGCTGGAAAGGCAGGCCAAGGCGCATGGGCCGGGACAGTTCGCGGCGGATGACCTGGATGTGGCCGCAGCTACAGCTCCCAAGATGCCCCCAGGCGAGCTTTCTGCCATCAGAGTTGAGTCCACGATGGCCCCGCCAGCTCTTTGTGCCCCAGAGGAAACGCCTACTTCAATACAGAAGATCGAACAGATTCTCACCGACGTCCAGAGGACTCTAAGTCGTGCCAGTGAGCCGACTAGCCAGCAAGCGAATGGGCCCGGCCTAGTAGGACAAAGAGCAGAAGGCGAAGCTGCCATGAAAGACAACCAGCGGAAAACGAACGGAGGTAGTAATCTCACCCCGAATGGAATCCTTTTCGGTGCAGGTGGTCAAGCATCTCTAGCGGAGGCGACAAGGGAAACTTCGCCCTTGTGCTCGCAGACTCCAAAGCGCTCACTGGAATCCATGGTTGAGCGAAACCCTGCGTCGCACACGGAAGACCGGAAAGAAACACCCGAAAGAACGGGTCTTGATTTGACACCTATACACCCCGAGAAAGGCTTAGGTAGCAGGGCGCAACGAAGCGACATCGGCACCTCCGTCGACAGAGCTTTTCAGACACCAGCAGAGAATAAAGACCAGAGCATTATTGCCAGTGGACATGATGCGATTGAACGCATCAACAACAGTGCAAATACGACTGATGTGTCGGCCGCACACTCTCAGTCCGACGGAGTAACGACAAGACTGGCAGAAGAGAGAACTAGGGGCGGGCTTGGGTCAAGCATGAGCAACGCGACGCGCATGATCATTGAGAAGGCAGACTACGGCGACAAGATAGAGAGACACCATCAACCTGTTCTGACGGATGCAATCGCCGGAGATCCCGCGAAGGTGGCCAAGACGTCATCAAAACGTAAAAGGGCCGCGGTAGAGGAGGCGGTCGTGGTGGAGCCGCGAGAAAAGAAGGACAACGAGGAGACGGGTTGGAAGTGGAAGATGGATCTTGAGGAATACATGGCGAAGTACAACATCGAGCCGCCCCCAACTTCTAAGAAGAGAAATCAGGATTACTTGCTCAGCAACCGCGACATACTCATCACCGACAGCGAGCGCGCCTACGGACGCAAGCGGAGACGCATTGATGAGTGGGGTAACAAGGTTCGAGGCGGTGATTGTTGAGCATGCTCATCGCAATTACAACCGCCCGATCCGGGGTGGGAATGTCCATGTGGTCATGAAATTGTCACAGCGTCAGGCCATCGTAGCGCTCCGTCTTCGCTATGTTCAGTGACAGCGACGAAGAACAAGTCGGGACTCGCAGCAAGTGCTCTTAGTAGTAAGCGTCGTGGTAACAAATCGTTCATCGAGCAGGATGCTGGAGGACGAGAAGGAGAAGCCGCTGGCATCATATTGCAAAGACACCACAAGGGTGGTAGGGGGGGTATCGGGATGTATCGAAGAGGCTGATATCATTCATGGGCGTTCGGCGAGCGAATGGGACGCGTGCGTCGGGGTATCCGAGTTGAACGTGAATAGGTAACGATGCTCTGCGAAGGCGTTTACGAGACAGCTGTTGACTTGGTTCAATAGGCACCTCGTGGCGTACACGAGCGATACCTAATGTGATCTGTTTATTTATTAGCATAAAGTGTCAACGTGCGGGTCTCTTGTGATGGTACCTCGTGACAAACACGCTTTCCGAATGTGATGCCTGCATTAGGGGCTGCGGTTGGGACGAGCAATACTCATAACGCTGTCCATGCTGAGATTTAGCAGACACGGATGTAGACATTTCTGTTCTGCATAGATGCGGCTGGTTGGAGATGGGATGCGGCAAAAGCTGGAGTGTTCCAAGGTTGGCTTGACGGTTGGCGCCCATGAGCTCCCGAGTTCACAGCAGTAACCATAGGATGTGGCCCAAGCGCCGCAGCTTAGCTTTACACGGTAAAGCTCCAGAGCGCGTCAGCCTCCAACACCACAATGTCTCAGGAACTCAGCAAACTATACGAAATGTCCATAGCCATCGCTATAGAACTGTTGCAATGCTCCAGAGATGGATGTATCCAGGTCGGCTCATAGCCCTGGAGTGCTTTGAGAGGTTGCGTCGAGGTCTGGGCAGTATCATCCCGTTTTGAGCATAGCGCGTTCTTCAATCTATGACGCGTCGCGCCGCCGTCCTTTGTTCGTGCTCCATCTCAGTGCAACGCCTTCATCCAAAGCCGCTTTGTTACCCCAGTACATGAGGACAATACAAAATCGAGAAGGTGTAGTTTTACGTTTTTGACATTCGGACGACCCAAGAAGTCCGTCGCGCAATTCGACGCGTATCTCATGTATCTACTCGTTTTTGATGACACATGCACATGCCAAGTCCTTTACGACGTATTGGCGGTAGTGAGCTCATCCCCCTCTTTCTCCTCCTCCTCTTCCTCCCCGGCCTCCACCCATCTGTGTACCACGTCCCCAAGCGCCAGGCCTGCGCCACGTCCTTGTTCCCTATCATCCGGCGGATCATACCGGCGATCGCTTCTACGGTCCTCACTGTCCGCATAGTATCTGTTTAGAGGCATAGGGTCCGTATCACGGTCAGATCAATGGTCCCGTTCGCCATATCTTGACTCCCGTACCGTGTGACGCTCCCCTCTGTCACGGCTGTCTGGCCAGTGCCCTCCTTGCGCACGTATGGTACGCTCGTCCTCATAGGTGCGAGGTTGGTAGCGTGGCTGGTCACTACCTCCATGACGGTCATCGCGCTCACGAAATGGATGAAGCTCTGCACTTGGGGATCTACTGCGCCGACGTGGTTGCGGTGTTGTCCCATGCACAGACACAGAATCTAGCCCTGGGATGATTAACTCCGCTATGCAATAGATAAGATATGTAAAGCCGTCGCATCTCAAACTACTTGCTTAACAGACTGAGGAAGCCTAATTGACGTAGGCTTCTTCGCAGGCTTGGTGTCAAAGTGGCGTCACTATGCTTACATAGACAAAGAGGATTGAGCGGACAAAGACATCAAGAGCAGTATTGTGTGTTTGTGTCGGGCCATGTATCCAGCCCTTGTTGGCTACATGTCTAGAACCCGCGACACTGGAGGAGATTTGTCGTGGGTTTTACTTCATCGAGTGGCAGGGTATACATGCGGCATGGAGAACCGTACGTCAGCCGCATCTGAACAGCCCATTCCAACTGGCGAGCAAATCCACAGCTATGTCGCAAAACATGACATCATCATCTACAATACGCATCATCATCATTACCATGATACCGCAACTGGCACTGGCACAAGAAGGCATCAATCTGGAGCGAGCCAGCACTCATACGGAGATATTGGTACGCAGGGTGGTAGACTTTCGACAACTGTGCCAGCTCAGCAAGTTCATCAAGCAGTCACTACGAGTCCCGGCGAAGCTTTCCGTCCCAGTTCGAGAGACAACATATTACGTGATGAACTAGACGCAAGAGCTACAGGGTGCGGTGGAAATGATGCTGCGAAGGAACGCGGGAAGGGAGCAGTAGAAACCGGTACAATTTTCGCCGTCCGGGATTGGTCGACAAAGGGCGAACGAGATATAGCCAGGCTGTTTCCCTCGAGCAAATATCACCTGGTATCCATTAACGATGGCAAGAATGTCACGCCCGCAATCACAGTGTCGCAAGAGTTAGGCGAGTGCATCAGTAGAGCATTTCGCGCAGAACGCCACTATAAAGGTCTTTGGACAAAAATCGATGAGAATGGAGCTGATACAGGAGAGAAGAAGGCGCGAGCGGTGAAGGATGCGCAACGATCTGACGAAGAACTGGCGAAGTTCGATACAGCGATGGAAGCATTATCGAGTGCACCTACACCAGAGCAATTTGAGGAACGGAGAACGCTTGTTACCCGAGCTTATCTTACTCGCGTAGATCTAAATCGACTGTTAGATGCAGAAACTCAGTTATGGGGAGATTGCAACTTGGCTGAGCAAGCTTGCAGAGACGCATGGGAGGACGTCGGAGCGTCACTGCTACCAGCCTGGCTGCGAGCGGGTGTTATAGAGTCTGATTCAACCGATGAAACAAGACTTCCCAAAGGAGACGAGAGAGGTATAACCCGACGAATCGACTGTGAGCCACCCAAAAGCCTTCGTCATCTTCGTGATGACGTAAAAGAGTCTGCCGACGCCTTGCGAAAGGCGTCTGCTCGGTTTGAGCACATGTGTCACCACTACATGAGCTGGGCACCATAGGAGGATGGTGTAGCTGCCGATTTCAGGGACCACTTTGTAAAACCAGCATTTCTGGACATGTTACAAGATGAAAGAATGAAGTTTGTAGACGCCAGAAATGCTTACGAGGGGGCCTTAGGTCGAGCCTGGCGTGGAGGAATTCCCGATGCAGAGCTAGATATAGGTTGTGGTGATGAGTTGAGAAGCAACGAAACACTCTTGTTGGACGAGGAAGATGCGATGTTTATGAAAGAAGTGCCCATGAACGCGCTGGAGGCTTGGAGACGCCAGAACATTAACCGCTCTCCATCTGAAACGCCTCTGTACCCAGCCGAGGAAAGAGGAATTGAAGAAGAATTACAGCCGTGGGAAAGCAAAAGCAAGGCACCAGGTAGTCCTCACTCGGAGCAAGAAGACCCACTTATTAAACGTAAACGAAGCAAAAAGACACGGAGAATGAATGGTGCTGGCACAATGAATAAAGATGGCAAGGCTAGGAGTCCACATCTCGTCCAAAACCGCCCCGCAGTTTCACGACATCGCATGTACACTCGAAACAACAAAATAGTATCTGTTTCGCCATCTGGAGAGAATCAATCTGCCAGGAGATTACGACGACAAGGTGTTCCAGAGCGCTCTCTTATAGTTAGCCGCCACGAAGGGCATGAGACAGTTGCCAAACATGAGCGACGCCCGGTCACGGACTTCTTCAAGACCTCTAAGCGGAGATCATAGGGATCAAAATTAGACTATCCACCTGTCACTCAAGACTGCAGTGGTGCTTTGGGCACGCGTTCAGACATCTCCGGGTTATTTATTGCAACATCCTTGAGTACTTCACAATGATATCAAGTCTAATCGCTTGCTGACGTACAGCCACGACAGTTGTCGCAATCGCTTGGTCATCTGGTGTACATATTATGGGGCTCTTGCGCTCTTCCTGCCGGCTGGTCCCACCAGGAAGCTTCCGTATGAGTCTTGCATTCACTGCCCAGGTGGATGTGTCCGTGCCAACGCGATGGCCACTCAACTTTTCTGGTGCCTGGGCGCTAAGTTCTCGCTCATGGTCTTTATATACTACAAGAAATCTTGTGATCTACCTAGTCTCTCATAATCCAGCGAGTGAGCCACCTACTCACCCAACTACTCCAATCGACCCCCACCCGAGAAATGGACCAATGCGCTTTTCTCACAGATATGGACACTGCCGCTCGGCCAGCTGCGTTTGGACGCCCTCGAGCTTCTTCAACGCCCGTGTATTCTACATCATCAGTCCATGGAACGCACTTTATCGACAGGACTAGCGGCAAACGCGTATATATAGACTTAAACCTGAAGACATTTTCGAAGCCCAAGGGCGAAGAATGGTACTCCCACATGTACGCCAACGTCAACGCAGACAAGATTGTATGGCAGGGCACCTACGAGGATATCTATCCCAGCTCAGAGGACGTTTCCTCGACTGAGGGGTACGCACTTCTCTGCAGCTACAGCTTCATGGACGAAGCAAAGTCCACGATCTCTGTCCCTGGGTCGCCGCCAGTGTTCAAAAGGCCAACCCCTCAAGACTTCCCTCTGAAGATTGCGCCCGACTCTGGCCACCATTTTAGCGACGAACATGCGGAACGCGCTCCGCAACAACAATACGAGCCCGCTTTTCAGGCCATCGCGACGATGAACCCTGATATCCGCTTCAACGACGTGGATGTCGTGACCAACCGCACTACAATGTTGAATCTGATGAAGTGCGTCAAAAACGCTTCCTTCCAAGCGTTTCATCTTGATCTCGACTTCGAGAAGAACACTCTTTTCATCGGAAGGAAAGTGCGCAACGCAAAGGTCAGGTCCGCTACCAATACCTACGGTCGTAACTTCGAAAGCGCCCTCACAGAATCCGAGATCGACGGCGCAACAGGCCACCATCGCTTCATCAAATACAAGCTTGGTAGCCTCACCATGGTCGTACGCCAT